TATATAACATTTTAAGTGTGATAATGACACCTATGATCGTATAATTGCGAGTTGACAACCTAATGAGCAAAAGATATAGAAATAATTACGTTTTGACTTTCTTAGAAAATTTGCAATTTCCGCTTTAATAAAGAGCTGACCATTCTTGCTATAATAATTCAAAAATAGATTATTAAAAAAAAAGAAAATGTTGAAAACTTCAGTCAAATTACTTTGTTCTGAACGGAGTTGTCACTGTTGGAAGTTTGAGGTAGAAATAGGCATCAACTGTGTCCGCACCGTCTACGAGAATTGCCACCCACATATTCTCAATTATCAAGTAATATTCTCAATGGCTATGGTACCTTCGCTTGGCAGGCCTTTTATCGGCAGTGTCCGGTAGTGACGTCAGTGACTAACAGTAAACGTTAGCTTGGTCGGCCATTTATTGATTTAATTTTAAATGGACGACTGTTTAAATCCAAGCCATCCGGGGGTCTACAGAGTTGACTTTTAGCTTGTCATGTTAATAACGGTCTAATTAATAATTTCTATAACATTTGAAGCCTAAATAATCATTGTAGGGGTTTGAGTGACAAATCGTTTAACGCGTGCGCTTTAGACCATAAGGTCTGATATTGAGTCACGTGGCATGGTTTCGATCTCACACTTGTACGTGACGAGGAATAATGTCACCTGCCAAACAGTGTAAGTTTTTGCCGGGTTCTCCGACATTCCCCCACTGCGAAAGATCCCTACGCCCAAGCGAATTTTTGAAATAAAAAATTGAACCATATGTCCGAAAACGACCCCAACTTCCCCGCCCCCTCCACCAACTCTGTCTCCCCATCTCCCCCACCCCTCTCTCTGACCAACTGTGTTTACGTGGTCTATTCCTGAAATGAAAACTGGTGTTTCACACGAAATATTTCCTACACCAAGTAGACCTTTAATCCACGTCTATTATGAATAGAGTTTAACGAGAGGGGCGTGGTATAAAAGGTCAAACGTGAGGTTATTGTCTAGTACAAAATACTTATAGTTTATAGTCGTGTACTGGGTATAAAATACTTGTAGTTTAATACTGTCACTTGTATGTCGGGATCGTAATGTGACCGAACGGCCTGGATAACCAAAGTCACTGCGTGGCGGCACTATCAGATTCGTTGGGTGTCCGAACTGTCTGTATAACCCAGGTGGCTGGATGACCAAACGATCCGTGACTTTCAGCAGTGGATCACCTGTTATCTATGTATGTCGTGACTTTCAGCAGTGGATCACCTGTTATCTATGTATGTCGTGACTTTGAACTCACGACTGCTTGTCCCGCTTTATTACTTGCTTTTATTTTAGGCACATGTAAGCCAATCATTTGAAGGTAATAAACTGAAATATAAGGATACATTCAACACCAGAAACGAAAGGAACCGCTTTAGAGAGAGAGAGAGAGAGAGAGAGTGAGAGGGGGGAGAGAGAGAGAAATGGGGTTTAGCCTAACGTCCACTCGACACAGACGACCCTACTCCATGTCACGTACAACTACGCCAGTTGACTGAATGAGGGACCTTATGATACAACGCACATGCGCTAACCATTCGCCCATCCAACCCCCGTCTAGCACCAAACATGCGTGCATACTACGGGGTGTGAGGCAACCTAATTCTGAAATTAACTAGAAATTGAACCTTTAAATGACTGTAGTATGGGGCATTGGTGTATTTGATTCCCCACCCCACAGCTCACATCTATTTGTCTTCGTGATCCTTGTAACATATGATTACCAGGGAGTCTGTTTATGTGTATATTTACTTGGCCAATCCAACTGCCCCACATGCACCACCCATAACACGTGAGTACGGATTCCTCTCGTTCACGCCGTGGTTCAAACTGTGGCATTCTCCAATGCCGTACCGCTCGACCACCTAACAGCTTGTAATTAAGAATGACGTGCAGTCTGTTATGAAATTAAATGCTTTGTTATTATCTACGTAATAAAATATTTTATATTTAAATCAATTCACATTTCTATTACATCAATCAATATATATATATCTACCACCCATGGTATATAATATTTTATGTTTTATATCTACCAAGAGGTTTGAAAGGGTATATTAGATAATATTTAATATTTGGGACCTAGAAATTGTCACAAATGGGTAGCAACGAATAATGTACTATGAATATTGACATTCAATCGTTTCTGCTTTTACTGTAATTTCTACAGTAAAAACACGAAGATCTGACCTGTTGTAGTGGAAGGTCGTGTCAGAGGTCATAAGAGCGGCTTTTGTCCCTATAACCTCAGGCATTTGATTAACCACACAGCGTTGAAGTTTCTAGTAGGTTACCCACAGTTCCGTGTACCTCACGCCCATAACTCGCCGTAACAGACCGTGTCATTGGCTAATCCCTCACATCATCCAGAACGCCGGTTATATAACAACTCTTCCCGGTCCGTTATTCACGAAAACTTAAACTAAGTTACAACCGAAATTTTAAGAAATACTGCAACTTCATTGGATATATGCAAATTGATTTTACTGGTCAGCCAATCGAATTGCAGTATTTCTTAAAATTTCGATTGTATCTTAGTTTAAGTTTTCGTGAATAAGGGCCCAGATCTTAGTGTAGTACAGACAAATAAAACGAAATTTTGAACTATAAAAAAACGAAACGAAATAGGATCTGTTTTAACCAGATTGTTTCCGGCGTGGTTCCCCCTTGTCAGTGATGCAGGACGGAGTGCCTGACAAGGACAGCTGTCTAGTCATTCGGATGGTACCAAAAACCGAAGTCCCGTGTACACATTGGCGTGCACGTAAAAGATCCCTTGATTGTTGGAATTCGATATAAGAGTAGACCGTAGTGCCGCTGTCCGGGCAAAATTTCTCTCATAGCACACTGTATGGCGTATGCCCGTCTGCATTAGCCCAGTTCGGAGCACAACAGTAGGACGTTAAACCCCATTTCATTTCATTTAATCAGATAATGAGTCACTGTTTATAAATCATGCAATAAACTTTAAACATGATTCATTAGATGTGAGTTTTACGTTAATTTTATTGTAGAAGAAATCTGTACGGATATTATAGTTTTATGATTTATTACCTGGTAACAGGTGGACGGAAGTTGAGATCGTTAATATACCTAGATATATTATACAGGTAAAAATATACACGCTTATACAAATATACACGGAAATCGTTACCTTTATGAATATTCTGAATATATTATAATAAAAGAATGTGAATTGCACGCGCCACAAGAAAATAAAGCCATATTTTACAAGACAATATACACCACCCTATAATCCGCCATTAAGGCTTATTGCGTTAGAAGGCTAATAGCCATTTTCCGTTCTTAAATCTAACTTAAATAAGGTGTGAAAGGCGTCAAAGGCGTTCTTTAGATAAGAAAAAATACACCACCGACGAATATACAGAGAGAGAGAGAGAGAGAGGGAGAGAGAGAGAGATTAAAACGTCCACTCGACACAAACTAGGTCATTTTGGCACTATTATATGGTTCAATTTTTTTTCAATAATTCGCTTGTTCGCTTGAGTGTAGGGGTCTTTACCAGTGGGAGGAAACCGGGGGACCCGGAGAAAACCCACGAGGTTAGCCAGGCGACCCTCCTCCTTGTCACGTACAACCGGTGAATCGAAACAACGTCAGTTGACTCAATGACCTTATGATACAACGCACACGCGCTAACCATTCGGCCATCCAACGTCTTCCGTCAGTCGAAATAAGAATATTTATTACGATTCATATGTAGATTTTACAATCTCGAGTGGGATCACGTGGCTAAGTGCATTCTGATTGATGTGAGATATTAGCCAATGAAACGGTCTGTTACAGCGAGTTTTTGGCATGCGGCGCACTGAACTGTGGGTATCCCACTAAAAACATCGACGCCGATTAGTTAATCAAAAGTCTGATGTCATAGGGGGGATCACGTGGCTAAGTGGGTAAGACGATGGCTCGCTAGCCTGGAGGTCGGGTGTTCGATCCCTGCATTGGCCGAGAAAGTTCATTCTGATTTTCCGGCGTGGTTCCCCCTTGTCAGTGATGCAGGACAGAGGGCCTGACAAGGACAGCTGTCTAGTCCTTTGGATGAGACGAAAAACCGAGGTCCCGTGAATACATTGGAATGCACGTAAAAGATCCCTTGGCAGTTGGAATTCGATATAAGAGTAGGCGATAGTGCCGCTGGCCGGGGAAAATTTACCTCATAAAACACTGTATGGGCTATGCCCGTCTTCATTAGCCCAGCATAGGAGCAGAACAGTAGGACGTTAAACCCCATTTCAATTCATTTCATTTCATTTTACAATCTCGAGGACCTTTCCCGACCAACACGGGATTAAAATAAGTTAGCGAGCACCTTAATCACTGAGGCACCGTCGTATCAATGGATAATGTGTATTATAGAGAATGACGACAATAAAACGATAGATCTGTAGATATGTAGGCTAATACTAACACACAATAAAACATGAATACAAATATCTCTTTCATTCCCCCTACAACTAACCGACATCAAAAAGTCATTTATAGTTTTATATAAGAAACATATTCTTTACAAAGACGATTCATTGTCAATACTATCACATTGTCGCTAAACCACGTCCACAATCCGTCTCAACAATATACACAAGAAACCGTGCATCTGGAGTATCAATCGTGCGAAACGACGATATGCTTTCTCCATACTATTTAGATGATACCAAAAATACTGTCACATCGTCGCTAAGCCGTATCCTTAATTCTTCATATCACATACATAATAAAGCGTGGACGTGGCGTATCAATCGTACGAAACGACGATAGTTCTGTATCCATTTGAAATAAAATGTAACATCATCGCTAAGCTGTGTCCCTAATTCTTCATATCACATACATAAAAAAGCGTGGACGTGGCGTATCAATCGTGGGAAACGACGATATTTCTGTATCAATTTGTTTTATATAGATCATACTAACGTATATAACAACGTGGTTGCTACCAAATACTGAATTATACAAACCGGTTCAAATTATCACACAGTCATGTCATACTTTTTATAATGTCAAACTTTGTTTAATGGAGATGTTTTCAAGTATTTGGTGCTAAGAATAAGCCTAATAACATATTGACAGGAATCAAATAGGAAGGTGACCAAGACATCCACGAGAGTTTGAATTTTAGACATTTCCCGAGTCTACATGTCTAAGGAAACGGTTTGTAAACTTTGAATTTTATTTAGTATTTTTATTTCGATAGCCGGAAGTAAGGAATTTTATAGAAGGAATTCACAGACCAATGTGTGTTCAATGGTGTTGTGTCGTGATTTGAAACCAGATGTATTCTCATCCAAAAAATGACTTCCATGTTTACTGCTTCATCTGGTAAGTAGCCTAAAAGTTAAAAATATAAACTGAGATTGGAAATGAAATGAAATGAAATGGTGTTTAACGTCCTACTGTTCTGCTCCTAAACTGGGCTAATGAAGACGAGCATACGCCATACAGTGTGCTATGAGGGAAATTTTGCCCGGGCAGAGGCGCTACGGCCTACTCTTATATCGAATTCCAACTGCCAAGGGATCTTTTACGTGCACGCCAATATGTACATGGGACCTCGGGTTTTCGTCCCATCCGAATGACTAGACAGCTGTCCTTGTCAGGCCCTCCGTTCTGCACCACTGACAAGGGGAAACCACGACGGAAAATCTGGATGAACTTTCTCGGCCAATGCAGGGATCAAACACCCGACCTCCAAACTAGTGAGCCAGCGTCTTACCCACTTAGTCACGTGATCCCCAAACTGAGATTTGGATTGAATTAGAATTAAATGAAATGATGGTTTAACGTATTACGGGTATACGCCATGCAGTGTGCTATGTGGTGTTGGGGGGAATTTTACCCGGACAGCGACACCCCTATCTATTCTTATTTCGAATTCCAACTGTAAAAGATGTACATGAGCCTCGGGTTGTCGATGCAGGACAGCTAAGGACAGCTGTCTAGTTGTTCGGGTGGGACGAAACACTGCGGTTGCGTGTACACATTGGCGTGCACGTAAGAGAACCATTGGCAGTTGGAATTCGATATAAGAGTAGGCCTTTGCGCCGCTGTCCGGGCAAAATTTCCCTGATAGCACACTGTATGGCGCATGTCCGTCTTCATTAGCCCAGTCGGAGCAGAACAGTAGGACGTTAAACCTCATATCATTTCAGGTCTTCGAGTGACTGACCGCCTTTCCTTGTTCCGCTCACAAGGGAAACTAGACCAGAAAACCCGAAAAGCCGGAATCGAACCCGGAACTTCCTGACTAGTGAGTCGGTCACCATGCCCCTCAAATGATTTTAAACACCATTTTCTGCTTCTAAAGGCAAACAAAACTGAATGCTAGCTAGTAATGTAACGGAATTACACTGCACTCAACGATTAGCTTTGATATTTCTTTCTTTCAGCTCCAGAAATAATGATAGATAAGCGACTGAAGTCGATAGAAATTAATTAAAACCGTGTGTAAAATTCTAGTGATTTCGTGATAAATTGTCACCAGTAATAATGACATTTCTAATGTAAACCAGTTGATTGTATTGTTATTGTATAAACGCGAGAAATGGAAGACACAGCACGGCTAGAATAGAGTATGATCAATCAGAATACGTCGATACGATATTCTAGCCTTTAAACTCGGCGCGTGCTTCATAGAAGGAGACATCGTGCGAGAGAATCATAACATAATCAACGCGACCTGCCAATCATTCTATTAGAAATACTCACGTCTCCTTTCTCGTGTTTATTTCAGATTAAAACCACTTTACATTTGTGGAAAACGACGAAGATTTTAATGGAGAAAACGAAACTTGAACTTGATGTACGAGACTAACAGCTCAGCAGAGACTACGGGATAGAATAGGAATTTAAACAACTGGATGTAAAAAACAAAACTGTAATCTAGTGGGAGATTGTATTTATGGATGTAAAAAAACTGTAATCCAGTGGCGATTGTATTCATTAATGTAAAAGAAAACTGTAATCCAGTGGCAATTGTATTCAAGGATTAGTTAATACCTGATACACACCTTGTCATAACCAGTGTGTCAAGATTCCCGCGGAATGTGACTATAAAACGAACTGAATCTCGTGACCCAACTAGTCTGCGAATACACCCTATGTGTAAGCAGACGTTAAGCTAAAAAAGAACAAAAATCGGATTAAATTCGCAATATATATGTGTCGTGAATAACGCGTCTTAAATCGGGCGTGGACCGACATATTCTATTCATATAGTATTTATAGATATTGTCACACACAAGTATTAACACAGAATAGCACGGAGATTATGTAAATTTCTAAAAATACAAGTAGTATATGTTGATGTATGTTTGGGTATCGTTATAGCAACAACTTCTTTTAAAAAAATCTGTCTTAAGGAATCCAAAGATGAAAATAAAACAATAGTCAAGCTTCAGTTATCTTGCTTGTCAACCAGCATCAATATTGATTCCTAACAAAATATACTTATTTATCGGTTTGAAGGTTACTTTCGTCCATTATCTGTTTCTAGTACCTGAGGCTTGTTTCGTAGTTCAGACATCAATAACGGAAAGCAGAGAAATAAACAGAGAACTCTGAAAGGTTTATCGATATTATAGGAATGTCGGTAGAGAAATGTACAGTGGCTAATTAGATTAACAAACAATTAGATCATATGTTGATTTTATTATTATTCAAAACTACCTAAGTGCTTGTAGAAATTATTTTCTGGTTCTAATTGTAGCTATACGGCAATTCTGTGTTATTATCTGAAACTGTTGTGGGATGACCATTTTAAAATAACGGAGTATTGTGAAGAAAGAATTACCGTTATTTCTAAATCTCTAAGCTTGTGGATGACGTAGAATCAGGATTTAATTTAATTGTGTGCCTTAAAAGTGAACCATGTGTTTGTCTGTGACGGGAGTTATCGGCCTTGTGCTGACCACCATGTTACTGCACGTGCCTTTAAGCGGTGAGTATGAAATTAGAGTAAAAGTAAATTGGACCCAAATAGAATCCAACATGATCGCATTTCTTCTACAAAGGGTTAGGGTTGGTATTCCCAAAGTAGACTCATTTACATGCGGCGGCCATATTGGACTCTACTTGGGACTACTTTACCGCTGACCATGGAACTAGGTTTGTGTATTGGGTATTGGTTCATATTAACCTATATGGTTAAAATAGGGTTTAACGTCTCGTCAACATAATACATTCCGCCATTTTGAGACTAACATATGGTATTTTTGATTTCTATCGTAACTTGTGCAATACAAGGTAGAAGAAACTTGCCCGGGCTGTGAGCTTCCAGACAACTCTTCAGACAACTCTTCTTTGATTTTCATATGTCAAGGTTCTTTCACGTGCACGTGAATGTAGACGCAGGTGGAGCTCCGTTTTTCGCCCCATCCAAACGGCTACGCACATTGTCTTATAATCTTCAATTAGAAAGCTGTAACTTGACCACGAGAAGACAACTCTAACGTAAACGTTGCTCAGAACATGTTAGTATTGATTTTAATATTTGGAAGGATCGCAACCCAAGGACCAGACAGTTTTATCTCCACTTTAGGGGAAAATATTTTAGGACCGCAGTTATCATTGTAAACTCAGGCTGTTCTGCTGATTCTTAGGTAATACTCTTATTTCGAATTTAAACTGCCAACGTGTACACAGCACCTCGGGTTTTCATCCAACTCGAATGATTACACTCCTTTTGATTTCAGTTGAATACTTAAAAGTTCTGCGTTCTGAAACTTTGAATTAAATTTTCTCGGAAATAACTTTTTTTGTTCGCGGCTAGCGGAATATTTTGAATAAAGATAAACGCGCATTGTCTCTTTAAATGTATCGATTCCATGATGAAAGCACATTGTCTCTTTAAATGATCAACTCCTTGATGAAAGCATATTGTCTCTTTTTAAAGAGACAATGTGCTTTCATCAAGGAATCGATCCATTTAAAAATAGATCGATTCCTTGATGAAAGCACATTGTATCTTTAAATGATCAGGTCCTTGATGAAAGCGCATTGTCTCTTTAAATGACCAACTCCTTGATGAAATCGCATTGTATCTTTAAATGATCAGTTCCTTGATGAAAGCTCATTGTCTTTTTAAATGATCAGTATCAGAAGAAGACTAACAAGGTAAATATTAAAATCATCGATCATTTATAGCCTTTCTTCTCGTAACACAATAGATGTGTCATTTGATCCTCATCGCGCGTGATTGTGCAATTGGTGTTGCATGTTATACAGTTTACAGTTAAAACTCGATGAGCCGAACTTCAACAAGAGTGTGATTATATTCGAGATAAGTAGGGTTCGAGTAAATATTCTTTGATTACTGTATGGCGTGGAATACAACAAAATAGATGGTTGAACCATAAATATAACAATACTTTTATACGAATATTAAAAAACTTCAAGAAAATATCCTTCCTTGAGGCGTTGTCTCGTATTTATTGTAAGGTTACTATAGTAATCGATATTTCTGTACCCATGCCCCCACCCCCACCCCCTCTCTACATCCATCAACCGAGAGGTTCTACCACCTTCTCCCCATCCTCGGTTACCCAGTGTACTCATTCCGTTCTACTCCACTATACCCTGGGTTAATCTATGGGGGAGACACGTTTTCAAGTTATCCGCCCTTGATGATTATGCTATTTTTATCGACCAATCCCATCAATTGTTATTTGAAAAGGAAGTTGGCAAGTAACTCTCATCCGACAATGTTAGGAGTTGGCCTATTCTAAATGCGTAATTATTAACAACCAATTATATATTATGTTAATGAAGACCGGACGTTCATATAATAATGTAGGGTCATTAGTTTTATTTAGAATTGTTCGTTCGTTCCCGGAATTTTATGTCCACGTGATATCGTAGACAAGTTATTGTGAATCAAATTGCCAAGTATAAGTTCAATAATAATAAACATAACAGAATGACATATTTCAGACTAAGAACGAATAGTAATAATAGTAACAAAAATCAAACATATAGATGTTAAACATATTTGAAATCAACAACACATACTACAGATTTTGATAATACAATTAAATATAAATAAATTATAAATATATACATTAATTACATAAATCATTCAGTAAATGGACATGAATATGGTTATCTACCCTTATAAAAACGAAGGCGAAACGATTGGTTTGTAAACTGTTTTCTGATTGGTTCGTAGACTGTAGCTACATTATAGGCCAGTGCAGATAATTTGAAATCGTGGAAACCCTATGGATTAACCCAGAGTATAGTGGAGTAGAACGGAATGAGTACACTGGGTAACCGAGGATGCCTTCTCCCCGACATTTCCATCGAACTATATGAACCCTGTATATCGTGCAGTGATTAGCCTGCATCTAGACCTAATCACTGTTGATGATCCAATCCGATATCTTGATAGGAAATGAACCCTCCCTCTGATGTTAATCTTTCCGCATATAAATGCAAACGCTTCGGAAGTTACCCGAATTTATCGATATATACACTGACATGAGTTTTTCTTACAAGGTATAATTAGCGAATCATTTAAATTATTTAACACTGGTGTGCACATACCATTTTTTGACGACCATTATAACGCATGACAGTCTATCACTATCATTAAAATCGGGGTAGTTAGCCCATTAGGGAGGCTGGGGAGTCGGGGGATGTTACCACGAAATGAAATGAAATGAAATGGGGTTTAACGTCCTACTGTTTTGCTCCGACTGGGCTAATAATATGGCCTACTCATATATCGAATTCCAACTGCCAAGGTATCTTTTACGTGCATGCCAATGTATACATGGGTCTCGGTTTTCCGTGTTACCCGAATGACTAGACAGCTGTCCTTTTCAGAAACCACGCCGGAATATCCCGATGAAATTTCTCGGCCAATGCAGGGATCGAACACGCGACCCCCAAGCTAGCCAGCCAGCGTCCTATATACCCACTTAGTCACCGTGGCTCCCACGATGTTAAGACAAAAGTGAGATAGATAATACTATTGTCATAAGATTCTATATCTGTTGATTAAAAGAAAGGGATTATAAATAATAGAAGCCATAATTGTAATGTATCTGGTCTATTTACCCTGGTTATATATAACAATATTGTGTCAGTAATATCTCTCTTTTTCTTAACAATCGATTATCTATGTTTAGTTCCGTCAACAAAATGAAATGAAAGGGGGTTTTACGTACCGTTGTCCAGGCAATCGATTATCTATGTTTAGTTCCGTCAACAAAATGAAATAAAAGGGGGTTTTACGTCCTACTGTTCGATATAAGCCGTAGTACTGTTGTCCAGGCAATCGATTATCTATGTTTAGTTCATATGAATGAAAAGGTGGATTTACGTCCTACTGTTCGATGTAAGAGTAGGCCGTAATGCCGCTGCCCAGGCAAAATTTCCTTCATAGCACACACTGTATGACGCATGTGAGTTCTGATTACCTCAGTCGCGCAGAGCAGTAAGGATGTTAAACCTCAGTTCATTTTATTTTATTTCGACCTGAAAGGAAAGAAGATGTTTTCATGTTAAGTCACCATCACTCGTTCTTAGTTCAAATCGATTACTGCTGTATATAAACCGTTGAAGATAACGATTTTTAAATGAACAATGTTTATAATAAAATCAATATCAACACACTTAATAAAACAATAGAAAACCAAGGTAAACAATTCTAATCACGTGATTATAAACCAGACATGGACAGACCAGGGGGTCTTCGTCCTGCACTACTGACCAGGGAGAATCACGCCGGAATATACCGATGAACTTCCTCGGTCAACACAGGGATGGAACACGGGATCTCCAGGTTAGCGTCTTACTGAATGAGTCACCGCGGCTCCCTGACCAGGAATGTACTGAGAAGAAGGCTGTGTGTAGGGTAGACTCGGGGCTAATGTTCTTGACTTGATATAATTTTGATGAATTGTTGGTGAGCCATGCAGGCAGTGCCGGATTAAGGCTCTGCTGGCCCTAAGGCACATTTTGATAGGTGGCCTGAAACATCATTTACAGTCAGGGTGTCAAACATCATTTACAGTCAGTGTGTCAAACATCATTTACAGTCAGTGTGTCAAACATCATTTCAAACATCATTTACAGTCAGGGTGTCAAACATCATTACAGTCAGTGTGTCAAACATCATTACAGTCAGTGTGTCAAACATCATTTTACAGTCATGGTGTAAAACACTACCTCCCACACCAGACCAGCCCCGGTTTAGCCCCCTTCCCCCGCCCCTGATCCCCAATCCGTACCTGTTTGATTTAGACCATGAAGTATGTGATCGATCCAAGTGTCGTCGTTTCGATCCTACGCTTATGGAGTAATCGAGGTCCCGTGTACACATTAGCGTGCACTTAAAAAATCCCTTAGCAGTTGGAATTCGATATAAGAATATTCCGTAGCGCCGCTGCCCGGGCAAAATTCCCCTCGTAGCTCACTGTATGGCGTATGTCCCGTCTTCATTATCCCTGTCGGAGCAGAAGAGTAAGACGTTAAACTCCATTTTAAAAAATGATTATGTAACATATAATTAAGAAAACAAAATCACAAATATACCCAGGGTTGGCACGGAACTTGTTTTCCGAATTTGATGAACCAGAATATGAAGACAGTAGATTAATGTTGTCCTGGAGATATTGGTCATCCAACACGAAGATACTGTTTATGATTAATGGACCATGGTTAATGATGATGATAAATAATTCAGTGTTTATAATGTTCACCAGTTACGAATAATATCAATGATATTTAATAATGGAACAGGGAATACACAGGTCACATTTCTATGGAATACAATTACTACTGTCTGTTACTGACTGATGTTTCAGCTTATAGTGACGGACGTTTGTAATATAATCATTGACTTCATCTCAAGAAGGACGTAATGATTAAGGGTGAGGAGGTTGGATATTTTAAACGTGCATTCACTTTTAACGAGAGCATATCACATGTAACATGATAGTCTCATAATGACCATATGTTAGTCTCATATGACCATATGTTAGTCTCATAATATGATAGTCTCATATGACCATATGTTAGTCTCATATGACCATATGTTAGTCTCATATGACCATATGTTAGTCTCATATGACCATATGTTAGTCTCATAATATGATAGTCTCATATGACCATATGTTAGTCTCATATGACCATATGTTAGTCACATAATGACTCTATGTTAGTCTTAAAGTGACCACATGTTAATCTTAAAATGACCACATGTTAATCTCAACAGGACCATATGTTAGTCTCAAAATGACCGAAGTATTGACGAGACGTTAAACCTCATCCCCTTCCATTGTCACGAGTAATGTTTGTTATATTATGTTATAATGACGATTGTCTAGTCTTGGTTATCCAGTCATCTCGCTCTCGGTTGTTAGAAGGCTGGTTTAACAAGACTTATTGTTGTTTAAAGAAAAAAGTATTTTTAAAAAAAAACAAAAAACAAAAACAACCCTAAACGAATTTTCTAATTACCCAAAATCTAAAAACCCAAGCAATGACTTTTTACAGTAAAGTATTTTGTGAGCGCGTTTATTAAACATCTTGATAATCGCCATTATTTTTGTTTTATTTTTTTTCAGATTGCCAAAACTGTGATGCTAGTAAGTTGATATAAAATATCATTTTTAAACATCTTGTAACATACCATGTTTCTGATTTCTCCAACAGAAATTAGTTTCTAATGGTCTCGAGACCTTTATTTCTTAAATATAACCAAGCAAGATATACAGACAATGATACGTGATTTAAAACAATATTTTATTCAGAAATTGAAAGTGATTGAGGAACAGGCATAGTCTATATCACCTCTCTCATAATAATTAAGCAATCTGATTAGAACACAGATCCTATTTTGTTTCGTTTTTTATAGTTCAAAATTTCGTTTTACCTGTCTTCACAACTCTAGGATCTGGATGAGTTGTTATATAACAGGCGTCCCAGTTGATGTGAGGAATTAGCCAATGAAACGGTCTGTTAAGGCGAGTTCTTGGCGTGTTCTGCACGTAAGTGTGGGTAAACCCTTTGAAACGTCAACGCTAATTGATTAATCAGTGTTTGACGCCATTTTGTCAAAAGCCGCTCTTATGACCCCTGCCGCGACCCCACAGTACAACTGATCTTCATGTAGAGTAGGCCATCGAACGTATATATAAAAAAAAAAACGAAACGAAATTGAAATCTGTATTTTAATCAGGTTGTATCTATATATATATTTGTGACTGTCGTTTGTCTGTCTGTCTGTTCGGGGTTGGCGGCTACACTAGGTCTGCCCCGAGTCTGAAATTTGGGGTATAGGGGTAGCTCGGACCGGGGAGAAACATAGACCAGGTGGCGTTAGTCTACCACTTCCGGTTTCGGACTTATGACCCCCGAGCGAAGCCGGGTATCCTGCTAGCAATTAATAATTGTTGTATTTACATAGCGGCACATTTCAAACAAAAGTCTGTCTTGTGTCCTTTTGAGAACTGTCCTAACACTGGAAACTTTTAAAACTGTAGTCTGCCCTGTGCGCATGTGCGAGCCGTTCTAACACTTGAAACTTGAAAAGTATGCCCCAGCAAATATTTGGATTTCTGTTCCGTTTGAACAGATTTAATACTCTCGGTCGGTTGTTCCATGACGTATTATAAGGTGCATGGCGGTTCCATAAGGCAGCATTATTATAATCAAAGGATCGTTTGTCAAATGCTAATGCCTTTACACAAGGACGTTTATATAGTATCTGGTTTTGAGATCTCGGAGTGATGATGCGCTTTACAGACCGTTATTCAGTATTAGCGCGCTTTAATATTATCATATTATCACTGTTATGTATTGAGGTATTTTATAAAAAAGGGGCCTGTTTTGAAACTATTAAACACGGCCTAGCTATATTTGTGTTTTAATAAACACGACCTAGCTATAGATATTGGCCACTATTAAACACGACCGAATTATAGCTATTGACCACTATTAAACACGACCTATAACTATATGAAACAGCATATAATAGTGACGTGTCTATTATATAAAATGGGCGTAGGTCACGTTTTCTATAGAAATACTTTTAACAATGTCTCTGATCAGAGTCATCGAGAACAACTTAATCACACAATTATCTGTTGAAAATAAACGAAAGCTTTCACCGCCCTCTATTCAGTACAATGCTCATTTTATTTACTTAAAGGCCCATACTATGTTCATTTTCTTCAAGAAAACCGATCGAACTCATGCCGCAATGACATTCAGTAATGGAACGGTAAATACACAAGATACAGTTTATGGGAAATAATTATACGGTTTATTAATCAGCAAAGATTCGATGATTTGCTTGATAAAGACTCAATAATCGTAATGGAAACGTTGCTTAGTAACAGACAGTAATTAAATTATATAGAATTCCGTCCTGTTTGCTGCCATTAATAGTCGATCTTGTAGACATGTGTCCAATAAATAGGCTTCTGTGTAGCAGTGGTTAATGGGATTATGAATGATGCTCGTTACCACATCTTCACCACCATCACCACCACCCAACCACAACGATCAATCCCAACCCACCAATAATATTCTTATATGAACACAATTATTCAATACGATTGTTGTCACTTCCCCCATCCCCTACAACTAACATCTTCACCCCCCCCCCCTTCTCAAAAAAAGCAACAGCCCCACACAAAAGACAAGTATTTATTACAATTGTTGTGATATATTTACAGATAAAGATGCAGTGCCTGTGTGTAGTGGTTTAACTAAATCAGGACGATTCGCGTATCTATCGGGTATTGAAGATGGTGATAATACAACCGAATGTTTCTGTTCGTTTAGTATCGATAACTCTAACGTAGACAACGATCTAGGTGATGTCGCTATTAATAATGTAACAATACCATCAACTAACTGTGACTTTTATTTAGCCTCAAAATACAAAGACGCTACAGGGACGTTATATTCTTGTCAGGATAATACTAATCTCAAATCCTATACCCTGAATCCTTCAGAAACCGTGGAAATAGGTATTGCTAAGATCAGCAATAATGGCAATGGTTTTAAATTTTGTTTAGAGTTTGAAAGCTCCCGAGGTAAGATGATTGTTTTTCCCGTAAATTTCCCGTAAGATAAAATGCCTGAGTTAGATTTTAATTATTATTCTGTTATATACCTGTATGTCTTGACAGCACAATAATTTAGCCATTTTGAAACTAATGTGCGTTTTTCTTTTTTTGTTTTCGGGACAATTTGGAGAATTTACTTTTACATGTAGAATACATAACTGAATGATAATCAAAAGCCAAATTTTGCGGTGCAATTTGTTTTAGGTTAGAACTTTTTGAGCTAATTTTACTAGTCTGCAAGTATTTCCAATGTGTCAAACTCCAACTACCAAGAGATCTTTAACGTGCACTTTACAGATTGTGAGGTCTCGCATAAAGCGGGGATTATATTTAATGACAAAGATCCAAAAGAAGGGCAAAGGGTTCGCATGCGAGGGACGGTGCTCTAAAGAAGGGCCTACATTTTCATTCTGTCTCAAGGTCGATATAACAATGTCCGCATTGTTCAATGTAATTTTTATTTTGTATTAGGTTCCAGCGTTCAGCTAAATTGTGAAACATTCATATCGTTTCTAATCCCACCAACTACTACTAAAGCTACCACGACGACTTTATTTCCTCCGTCAACAAGCGCCGGATCAACAGCCGCTACATCAACCTCCACCACTTTAGACGAAACAACAGCAGCCACGACAATAGCTGCAACGACCGAAAGTGCTGATCAGACAACAGCAGCCACGACAATAGCTGCAACGACCGGAAGTGCTGATCAGACAACAGCGGCCACAACAATAACTGCAACGACCGGAAGTGCTGACCAAACAACAGGGAGTACTAGCAATGTCAATGGCGGGGGCGATGAAACCACAACTTCTAGTAATAATAATGGAGGCGAAACGACTTCTAGTAGCAATAATGGAGGTGGTGGTACCACTTCTTCCAATAATAATGGCGGGGGAGAGACTACGGCTAATAATAACAATGGCGAAGATCCAGATACAGGTAGGATATTAAACTTTGTGTTTACGTGAAATCTGACAATAATCAAATATATTTTCGCCTCTCTCTGCTCGGCAATTATATATATATATACTGTTTCAAAGAAATACCATCTTGAGTTTGAGTGAGGGGGGTAGCGATTATTGAAATACCATCTTGAGTTTGAGTGAGGGGGGTAGCGATAAATACCATCTTGGGTTTGAGTGAGGGGGGTAGCGATTATCTTGAGTTTGAGTGAGGGGGGTAGCGATTATTCAGTCACTCATTTATTTGATAAAGGTTATTTTTCGATCATTTTGGATTGGAGAGCCACGGAGAATCAGTGAGTAAAACAATGACTCGTTAACCCGGAGGTCCCGTGTTAGATCTTGATCTTGGCCGGGATTGTTAGACGTTATTATTCCGACGTAGTCCCCCCTTCCAAGACGGGGAGCCTGGCAAGTGATAATGTATAGTCGTTCGGATGGGAGGAAAAACCGAGGACCCGTATACACATTGGTGTACATGTAAAAGAACAACTGTCAGCTGGTATTCGATATAAGAGTAGGCGGAAGTGCCACTGTCCGGACAAAATTTGCCTCATAGCACACTGTTTGGCGTATACCGGTCTTCATTAGCCCAGTTCGGAGCAGAACAGTAGGACGTTAAACCCCATTTCATTTCATTTTGTGGAACTTGATTTGCTTACCTATAAAACAAACCAACCTAATATGTTTGATTGTGCCTTTAAAATAATGTATACAGCTCGGTTGCCTTGGTTACACTTCCTAGTTAGTGTATAGCCGACATTATATATATAGCTATAAAAATATTTGTTCAGAAGAGAATACAACTTCAGTACGGAGTACACACTTGGCCTTTGTTCATAAAACGAGACAATAGCAACACAAATCAAATCTTTTAAAGACCGATTTGGATTTTGATCTCATAAAATATTAAAACGGCTTTTAATACGAAAGGTCAACATGTACTGCTGAACAGACAAAAGCCCAATGGCTTATAACGTAAGAGGGCCCCGGCTACCTGCCTTACTAACTTATTAATGCTTAAAACAATATTTTTATCAGTGCTTAAATGTCAGAAATAATCAATTATTTTACATAAAATCTAACAATTTTACATAAAATCTAACAATTTTACATAAAATCTAACAATTTTACATAGAATCTAACAATTGTACATAGAATCTAACAATTTTACATAAAATCTAATTATTTTACATAAAATCTAACAATTTTACATAAAATCTAACAATTTTACATAGAATCTAACAATTTTACATAAAATCTAATTATTTTACATAAAATCTAACAATTTTACATAAAATCTAACAATTTTACATAACATCTAACAATTTTACATAGAATCTAACAATTTTACATAAAATCTAATTATTTTACATAAAATCTAACAATTTTACATAAAATCTAACAATTTTACATAAAATCTAATTATAATAAATAATTATTACATAGGAGGGATTTAAAATTAGTTTGAATATGTTTTTAATCCAAATATATCATCAAATCTAACATATTGTACGTGGGAAGTCATCTTTAAATAAAGAAAATCACAGTCACCAATGAATAAGAGCATTTTAATGCGCATTTTAATAAAATAATCCATACCTTCTGCGCATTTTAATAATCTATATATTGACTTAAAGACGACAATACATCGCGTGCGATTACTCGACATTATATTGATTTAATCAATTCAAAGTTTATTCTAGAAATATTAAATATTGGCAGTAAGTATTACCTTTAAAGCGAGAATTTCATATTTTCTAAGAAAGTCAAAACATAATTATTTCTATGTTATTTGCTCAATAGGTTATCAACTCACTATTATACGACCATGGGCAATATTTCCCACCCTTAAAAATCATTGATACAGGAAATAATAACACAATTACATCCCTTGTTTTCATATTGCCTCCATGCATTAGCTACCTTCAAACGTTGGAATTTGAAGTTGAAAATGATATTTTTGCCAATTTCTCAGCTGGCAATAGTGAATTATAGGATTAATAGGATTATTCTTTAACAGGGTAGGACGGTTTATGGATACCATCTATTTTAAAGCTTTATTTTAATAAATTTTAAAAATATAACTTAAAAATATGAAATTGCACCTTTAAGTTCAGTCCAATAGTTTGTTTAACGTGCACGCGTTTTAAACTACAGATATGGCATGTGGCCTAATGGTGTTTGGTTTTATTATCGAAATGACTATGTTTAATTCTAATTACGTTCCCACCTTAAATAAAACAAGCAACGAAATTCTCAACTTAATGTATAAATATCTTTACTAAGATCTTAATAATTGTTATATAATTAAATGTTTATGGTTTGAATATGTTTACTCGGATCTTAATAATTAAATGTTTATGGTTTGAATATGTTTACTCGGATCTTAATAATTAAATGTTTATGGTTACTTTGTAGACTTAAAGGGACTATCCCTTATTTGAACAGAGTCTCAAAAATAAAAGTCTTGAGTATGTATGAAATTTAAGCGCCAAAATATAGAGGAATGGTGTATTGACCTTATTGAGTCGTTTGGACGTGACCGTCAAAACTGCTTATCCGGACACGTAACCCTTTTAAGATTTCGGGTCAATGTTTTCGTTGTGAGACCTGATAATCGATTCCCGTTTATTGAGAGGTCTATACAGTGAATGACCTAAATGCTGTACTTGATAACGAAAGGTAAATTTCACCTACACATTATTTTTATACAAAAAATGTCTGGTTTTATCTAGACACCGCATAATATAGCTTGGGACACTGGTCTCCATTTCCAGATGAAGATTGACGGGTTTAAGTTTTTGAAAACTTATCACAAATATTGAGTTAGTTGCTCGGCTCTTAGGTAGAGGATTTTAAGGGATTTTAAAACAAAATTAAACAGTTTTATTCTCCAAACAATTATCGGTATTAGCCCTTGAAGGAGAATTTTAATCACAATATATTGATGTTTAACGTCTTACTGTTCTGTACTAACCTGACGAATAAAATCAAATCATGTTTAACGTCTTACTGTTCTGTACTAACCTGACGAATAAAATCAAATCATGTTTAACGTCTTACTGTTCTGTACTAACCTGACGAATAAAATAAAATCATGTTTAACGTCCTACTCTACTGCACCGACTGAGATAACGGGGGCGTGGTGACCCATGATTTTGCATGGGGAACAAGATCCCATCCGAACCCCAAGAAACAATATTTATATGTGTATGCGGTGGGGGGGGGGTCCCTCCCAGTGCCACCGGGTAATATTGGGCTGTATGGAACATGCTAGAGTCGATTTGTAGCATATCTGACCCACGGTATATGTTTGACACTGGTTGAGCATTATCATTATAATTATAATGTTTAAAACCATATTGGAACCGCGTGAATTTTTGCTGTTTGCGAGGGGGCACAAAAACTCAAGGGGGCGCAAAAACTCAAAACCATGACGCAAAGCTCGTCATTGCGTCCCTCTCACTTATCACCTGTGGGCTAATGAAGACGGGCACATGGCATACAGTGCACTATGTACTTGGCAGGATAGTGATGCTATGCCCACTCTTATATCGAATTCCAGATGCCAAGGGATATCTTACGTGCACACCAATGTGTATACAGTGCCTTGGTTTTTCGTCCGATCCAAACGACTATACGTTGCGAATTTCCACGCCCTCCGTCCGGCACCACTGACAAGGCGGGGCTACGCCGAAAATTCCCTGGGATCTAACACTGGTCCTCCAAGTGAGCGAGTCAACGTCTTACCCATTGAGCCACCGCGGCTCCCCGGGCTAACGAAGACGAGCATACACAATGCAGTGTACCATGGGGGAAATTCTGCATTGAAAGGGAAACTACGCCCTATTCATACTTCCATTTCCATCTGTCATGGACGTTTATGGTGCTGACGTGGTATACAAGGGTTTTCTTCCCAACCGAAGGACTATACACTCGGTTCTGTACAACTACTGACAAGATTTACATAAATCGGGTTTTATAAAAGAGAAATAATAAGCCGTCTGGGCCCTGTTTCACGAAATTTTAACTAAAGATAAAATCCAAATTTTAGTAGATACTTCAATTTTGATTGGCTAAGTACTAAAATCAATCTAGTATTATCCAATCAAATTACTAAAATTTGGATTTTATCTTAGTTAAAATTTCGTGAAACAGGCCCCTGGTTTCTAGACAAAGTAAACATTTGTTACTTCTGCGGTTGGCCGGGGTGTTCTCACTTTCCCAGCAGCTATTGTTTTCCAGGTAAAATCATTGGACCAGTACGAATTATGGTGTTAAAACTATAGTCTTTTTCATATCAATATTAACCACTTTACATAAAAGTTATTTTATTAACAAATTTAGCATGTACATATATATTTTTCATACCAATATTAACTACTTTACATACAAGTTATTTTATTAACAAATTTAGTATTGTACATGTATATTTAAAATCCGACTAAATGTGATATCGAATTTCGGTATTCGCCACCGTCAAATTGACTGTCCCAAAAATAATTTTTGAAAATTTTGTAATTATATGAAATTGATATATGTTTTTATTTTATATTTTCCAGAACTTGGTATAATTATTGGATTTGTAGTGGTTTTAATTATCCTGATTATAATTATTATAATTGTTGCAATGTAAATATACGGATTATTTCCTTTATATAATACGGTGCTGGATTTACCTTGACAGGCTGAAACCAAGGGCCTCCAGGTCTAGGAGTTACCTGAAGTCTAGGGTCTCTAGATCTAGGAGTTATCTATAGACTTGGCTGACTGAAGCCTTGGCCCTCCAGATCTAGGAGTTACCTGAAGCCCAGGGTCTCTAGATCTAGGAGTTATCTATAGTCTTGACAGACTCAAGCCTTGGCCCTCCAGATCTAGGAGTTACCTGAAGTGTAGGTCCTCGAGGTCTAAGATTTACCTATAGGCTTGACAGGCTGAAGGTGTATAGGCCTTTCTTAATGCAATGTAGTCTTAAACCCCCGCCATCATCCTTGATTTTGCTCAATTGTGTCTCAAACACACTTTCGCCTTCCTTTAGTCGTGGAGTTGAATGATTGGAAAGGGCCTCATAAGGACATGGCCTCTTTTTATCTAGAGCCCACTCTGACTACGTCTTTAATTTAAATTATCTCCCGTGTTGTAGCTAGTATTGTTGACTTTCTAGCTTAATGACGTCATGCGACAGACAACATTCGACAGCTATCTTTTGCATTGCTTGTTTCTTTCTTGTGCTCAGTACATATAAAATTGTCAAAAATCTGGACATGCGAATTTTTTAATAGATTAATTGATATGTTTTTATTTATTTTCAGTTTTTATATGAAACGAAAGAATAGTAGGAGGAATCGAGTTGATATAACACCGCCAACACCAAAAACACCCAAAAAATAATAATAAATTTATGTTATGTTAAATCTAGTGAGATGATCAGATTAAATAAAGTGCTTTAACTTGTCAAAACACAGCATCTAAAAGAGCTTACACCAAACTTTCTGCTTTCATGACTTTCTTGCGATGGTCGGATGAAATTCAGTGCGCGACCAGTGTATCGATCACATTCCTTTGAAAATTCAATCAGGTGCAAGCTTGATAATCACGACTTCGTGATATTGAGTGCGAAACTAAACATAACAAAGTGACATTCAGTACGGGACCAGTTTACTAAATACCACAACGTGAAAATTAGTTCGGGACCAGTTTACTGTACATTACAAAGTGTAATGAAGCGCGGTACTAGTTTTCCGATCATTACAAAGTGAAATTCAGTGCGGGACCAGTTTACTAAATACGACGAAGTGAAATTCAGTGTGGGGCTAGCTTACTAAACATGACTAATTTGCTATACATGATGATGTGACCATAATAATAGTACACAGGACGCTAGGATTAACTAAATATACCAGTTTAAAACCAAGTAAACACAGTGGACCGTGTCGTGAACTGTGTCGTTAACCGTGAACAGTGCCATGAACTGTGCCATGAACTGTGCCATGAACCGTGCGAAATGTTTCAACGAAACCTTAAAAGTAGGAAGAAAGGGAAACAACTTTCATTATAAACAAATGTGTGGATACAGCACGTGCCATGACTAAGCGAATTGTCAAATAATTAAGCAACCGGTGTTCTACAAAGCGAATGCACACCCTGTCACGTTGACGACACCCGCCACTACTGATTAGTCATCATTAATTGGATTCAAAGAAAATGACTGAACATGACACACACACACACACACACACGTGCCAATTTAATATTAGCCTGTTTGACACATACAGTTGGAATAAATTCCTGGACGATATGTTAGACCAAAGACTTGATGGACGATAGGCTAGACCAAAGACTTGATGGACGATAGACTAGACCAAAGATGCGGGGGAACATAGATGATAGAAACGTTCACGTCGATTATAAAGTTGTGGAGGTAGTATATCTGGACGAGGGAAGCGAGGCACCAAAACCTTGTTCCTATATGATCTCCATAGTGTACATGTTTCTATTAGTTAACGATATACTATGTAACCATAGACAATGGTAACTATAGCCAATTAAAACCACAGAGTTACTATGTAAATATGTATAAATATACTATACTGTCCATCTTTATACAATAACATTATTTATGAATAGTCCCAAGATGGACGAAAAGTACTTTAAAATGTTAAAATTTTATTAAACCAGTGTTGAAATCAGTTTGTTTCGGCATACCTTTTTTATCTTTTCATCATTTACCGTGAAACAAAGTAGTGCAGCTTTGCGGTTGTGCTAATAATTTTGGATATATATATATATATATATATATATATATATATATATATATATATATATATATATATATATACGTGTGTTCGACAGGATGTGGTAATGTGGGGTTGTGCTTGACAGGAAGATGGTCCGATGATCCTATATCATCTCCGTGTTCGACTGGATGCGGAGGAGGTGTGTTATGTGTAGTTTAATGATCGAGTGCGAGACATTAAGTAATATATTGCTTTTGTACGAGTGCGTTTAAACAACTTAAAATAAAGATGCTATCCAGCACGTGCCTTTGAATGAAATACGTCACGCGGGTCCAATATTTCAACTAGTATAGATAATGAAATAATGGTACGGCAACATCAAAGGATGACGTCACATCTGTATTTTAAATAAGAAGATGGTCTGACGTTCCTGTATCTCCATATAAATATGGATGCGGTGTAGCAGTTGTGCTAGATAGGAAGATCGTCCGAGGCCACAATTCACCGTCGTTTAACACTAAACAAACAACCTCTATGGAAATAGGTGTTAAAGATGTACATAAAAACACGTTTAATTTTCATATCGAGAACCGGTAATTTATTATAAATGGATTCTTTTTACATAATTATTTTATTCTATAATTTTCATGTTAAAATCTCGATGTACCAAATTACCATGATATATTTTTTTTGTTAAACATTGTTAAAAAATAAGGAATGGTAGGATACCATCTTGGCCTTGATGTGCATGAATAATACAAGTTAATGTGGACTTTATATGGCCACACGTGTAACTAATTAGTTTTAATAATTGTGTCAGCGTGCTCTCTGGTAAGACTACTTTTGATCATATATGATCTGACAGTCTATATATGGTCTGACAGTCTATATATGGTCTGAAAGTCTATATATGGTCTGACAGTCTATATATGGTCTGACAGTCTATATATGGTCTGACAGCCAATAGAGAGGTTTCGTAATTTTACATTTACACTAATTTACATTTACACTTAGACGGTTAAACGTCATCAGTTTTTGTGACGTGAAGCGTATGTCATAAAAGTGTGTCCGACGGATAACAGCCTCAATAACTGTAAGTTCACAACACTAAGATAAACCTTGTTTAATTTCTATAATCCAGTCCATAATGTACCTCTGAATCGTGATTTTCACGAACTAAATCCACAGAGAAGACCCTCTCCTTCATGTTGACAAAATAAGAAGAGGCTGAGACAAAACATGTGCGTGCTTTACTAACCTATCCGTGTTGAAGGCCTATCGAGATCATGGACCACGTTTGTGTCGCCACCTACTAAGTGTAAACGTAAGTGAGAATTTAGTGCGAGAGAGAAAAAATTGGCGTTTAACGTCCACTCGACACAAATTAGGCCATTTCGGGACTAGCATATGGTTTAATTTTATTTCAATAATTGGCTTGCGCGTAGGTGTCATTAGCAATGGAAGGAAACCGGAGGACCCGGAGAAAACCCACGAGTTTGGACAGGCAAACCTACTCCTTGTCACGTACAGTCGGGGAATCGAAACCACGCCAGTTAACTCAATGACAGGCCTTATGATACAGCGCACCGGTGCTGACCATTCGGCTATTCAACCCCCAGAATTTAGTGAAAATTCATAATGTAGGTTCCACCTACACTTATCTAAATATAAATGTAAGTGTTAATTTGCGAAACCTCTCTAATATATATGTGTCATTCTATATATGGCCTGACAGTCTATATATGGCATTTAGTCCAGGCCATTAACATATACCCTTAATCAGTATCTACCAAAGTACGTTTTTACCATGCCTTAAACTGGATCTTCTGTTATAAATATATAAATATATTCCCCAAAAAACATACAGGAGGGGAAAAACTGGTATATCATATTCCGGAAGCAATATTGGCATGTATTACTAGGTCATTGTTCGAAGCCATTACTCAATAAGCCAGAGAGAGAGAGAGAGAGAGAGAGAGGGAGGGAGAGAGAGAGAGAGGAGAGAGAGAGAGAGAGCGAGAGAGAGGGAGAGAGAGACAGAGATAGAGAGAGAGAGAGCGAGAGAGAGAGAGAGAGAGAGCGAGAGAGAGAGAGAGAGTTTAACGATCACTTGACACAAACTGTGTCACAATTTTATTTCAATAAATCGCTTGCACGTATAGCTGTCTTTATCTGCTTGAGGAAACCGAAGGACCCGTAGAAAATCCATGATGGTTGGTCAGGCGATTCTACCTCTTGTAAAGTACAAGTTGGGAATCGAACCCGCACCACTTGAATGAGTGACAGACCCTATGATCTATCGCGCATGCGTTAAATCATTCGGCGACACAACCCTCTTACTCAGTAAGCAAGACTCGACCATTACTATCTCGTGCACTTCCTAGTCCCGAAATGACCTAGTTGTGTCGAGTGAATGTTACCCCCCCCCTCTCTCTCTCTCTCTCTCTCTCTCTCTCTCTCTCAATGTCAGACTTTGTTTCCATAGGAAAACAGAAATTAGTAAATCCGAGAAGACATGGCCATTGACAAGGGCTCTTTTACGGGCACGCAAATGTGTAAACCGGACCTCAGTTTTTCGTCCCATCCGAACGGCTATAGTTTGTCCCTGTTGCTTCAGGAATATGATGTTAAATCCTTTTCTCTTGATAAGGAATTAGTTAGAAAATTGTGCCTTAACATTTTCCAATAAATATTTGTTATTTTGTACACCCATTGTGAATGTATATATGATATTGTCACCAGGGCCCAAGGAGAGGAGAGGGGTTCCAAATCGTACATAGTGCTGCGACCCATCAATCCCCAGAACAGATGGGGCAGGGTGGCCTGGGTGGGGGGTGGGGGGTGGGGGGCGGAGGATGTCTTACTCCCAATCTGATTAACATACAGATCTATATTTCGTTTCGTTTTTTTTATAATTTCGATGGCCTACACTCCATGAGGATCTGACAAGTTATAGTGGGAGTTCACTTCAGGGTTCAAACAAGCGGGTTTTGACCTATGACGTCAGATATTGATTAATCAATCAGCTTTGTCGTTTCTAGTGGTTTACCCACAGTTCCGTGCATAAAAAGGCCAAGAACTCGCCGTAACAGACCGTTTCATTGGATAATTCCTCACATCAAGTAGAACGCCTGTTATATAACAACTCTTCCAGATCCTAGTGTAGTAAAGACAAGTAAAACGAAATTTTGAACTATAAAAACGAAACGAAATAGGATCTGTGTTTTAATCGGATTCTCTAACTCCGGAACATCAAACAATTTCTCGGTGGCCCTGTTGTCATATAAATCTGTCGTTCCAAGGTCCATCTTGATTTATTTCTGGTGATGTTTCAGCGAGGGTTCTCCCGTCGAAAAGTCGCCAGAAATAAGTCCTTTAAGTAACTTGTATTCCATATAATTGTGTCTTGTGTTATTGTTGACTAATTTGAGAGATTTGAATAAACAGGGATATCTCCCTGTTTGCCTTTAGCATCTGAACTGACGAGTGTGGATACAATACCCGAGAGAGTGTGTGTGTGTGAGAGAGAGAGAGAGAGAGAGAGAGAGAGAGAGAGAGAGAGTTACGCCCAGTCGACAAAAATTAGGTCATTTCGGGACCAACATATGGTTCAATTTTATTTCAATAATTCGCCTGCACGTAGAGATCTTTAGCAGTGGAAGTTTCTCGGAATTGTCCGGTGAGGTTTCCTGTTGTCAGTGCTGCCTGGCAAGTGTCTAGTCGTTTGGATAGGACGAAAAACCAAGACGTGCACGTGGAATTGGTCGTAGATCCGAATGGTTAGCACGTGCGCGCTGTATCATAAGGTCTGTCATTGAGTTGACTGGCGTGGTTTCTATTCCCCGGTTGTGCGTGACAAAGAGTAGGGTCGCCTGTCCAACCTCGTGGGTTTTCTCCGGTTTCCTCCCATAAAAGTGAACCATATGTTAGTCCCGAAATGACCTAGTTTGTGTCGAGTGGACATTAAACCCCATTTCTCCCCCCCCCTCTCTCTTTCCTAAACTTATTACTGATACGGATTTATAAGCATATTTTGCGCCCCCAGTAGTTTCAATAATGATGGAGGGTTCTGCATTGGTTAATCACCCACTCAACGGAAACAATTTACTTAAAGCAATAAATTGTTTAATAATCATTTTTGAAAATATTATCTGTAGCCCTGGGGCCGATAAAATCTGATAGTGGGACACATTGGACAGACATGTAATGGGGTTTAACGTCCTACTGTTCTGCTTCGACTGGGCTAAGAGAGCAATTTTGCACGGACAATGGCACTACGACATCTCTTATATGAAATTCCAACTGTCAAGAGTTCTTCGAGTTAAACGCCAATGGCCAATGCGTACATGGGACCTACGCCCTACTAATATCTAATTCCAACTGCCAATGGATATTTTATGTGCATGTGTACACGGGACCTCGGCTTTCCGTTCCACCCGAACGACTATACGTTGTGCCTTGTTGCCAGGCCCTCTGGTGGTGTTGACCGACAAAATTCTCCATGATTTTCCAGTGTTGTTTCCTCGTGTGTGTGTCGCGGGACGGAGAGTATCTAGTCGTTCGGATGGGACAAACAAGAGGTTCTGGGTACGTGATCGTGCACATAAAAAAAGATGGTTTGAATTCGATATAAGAGAAGGCCATTGTCCTCATAACCCACTACATGTATGTCGTTGGCTCGTCTTCATTAGCCTTGTCAGTGCTGACTATAGTAGGACTTTAAATCACATTTTGTTTGTAGTAAATAGTACTAGGATGTTAAACTGTTTACGGATATACGGATATATCAAATAGTATATCCTATTTACTCACATGATATCCCAAAAAGACGGATTTCATATATTTCATATGTATAGTTTGTCCTGGTTAATGTGAAATCGCCATCGTTAGGCTTCCAAGTATTTTCCGTGAGCGGTTCTGTTCAAGTACTTGGCTGATCCGTACTTACTAACCGAGCCACCGCGGCTCCTCAGTGGAACGCAAGTGATGTGCGATTCGCACTAGTAGTCCGGTGGCTGAAGGGGGGGAATCGCCACCCGAGCTGTGAATTTATGGGACCAAGTTTTTCTAGACCAGTTTTTTTCGTAAATTCCGAATCTGGGTGGTGATCAGGCGTTTGAGGGGGCGTTTTCGAGTTATAGGGAGTCAAATGTCTACAATGGGGGGGGGGGATGTCATTATGTTGACGTAATATATTAATAAAACATAAATTTCTAAGACTGCCCATCTATAAATAATAAGTGTTTATGATGCCCCTGGACAACGGTTTTGATTTGTGGGGTAGGGGTAGCAGGTGTGCGTGTATGGATGGGGGTGGGGGGGTACAATTGGCGGGAAGTGAGTTCACGTTGATGATTTTCTTAGAGCTTGGTAAAAACATTACTTTTTAATTCCACTGCACATCTCTAAATATGTGTATACGATTACCATTGTATGGGGGAGGGTAAATGATATGCCTCAGATACCCATTCACATTGTAAATCTTCATTCCAGCCTTGTATCGCAGCGTCATCTTGTTCGATCATTAATTTTGCAACCTGTATCCATATTGCTACAACATACCCGGGCAAAATGGTAATAAAGAAAGAAAGTTTTGTTATTTCTCATCACAATTAAAATTTCTCCAGAAGATCCTTCTTCTAGTGTCATCTACTGATGTAAGTCGGTTTTCGCCGTACAAGGTACATATACAAACAATTTTTTTCTAAACCAGCAATTACGCCATCAGAAGCATCATTTGTCTATCCCAGCTCTTTAAAAATTGTTAGAAAGTTGGGATTATCTTGAAAAAGAAAGACAGATAGTCATTACCACTGAAAGCATGTAGGCCGAGATATTCTCGACACTTTCAATACTAATCTTGATTGGTCAAAAAATATCAAGATTAGTATTAAAAGTGTCGAGAATATCCTAGAACTGACAACCAACCACGAGGACACCAAAATATCTTACCTACTCCTCTTCGCATTGCAAATTAATGGAGGTGCTGAAACAAATTGTATTTTGCGTTCTTGCTCGGGCGAAATAGGCATCCCAATCATTCTCTTCGCAAACGATGATCCAAATATACAAATTTTGATCGATAATGAGACTGGCAAAGGTAGAAAATATCGCGAAAGACGACTTACATCACTAGATGACGCTAGAAAAAAGAATTTTGGGTGAAAAATAACAGACCTTTCTTTATTACCACCTTGTCGTATACGTGGTCCTTTGCTACATGGCTGGATTGAAGATTTACAATGTGAATTAGTTTCTGAAGCATATCCAAAGGATATGCGAGCTGTTGGCCAGCAACCAAGAAAATATTTATCTCGCTCATATGAACTTTTGATTTTGAATCTTCTGATGAAGACAAAGAATAAACTAACAACTAAACATCTCTGAGTTAATGTGTTTTTGATTTACATTTCCAGATCTCTTGAAAAGTACCATTATAATTTAATATTTTGAATGAAAACGCTAACGAGATACCAGTTTAAGCTCAATTATGAACGATGTGATTTCTGTCCACAAAAATACATGTTGCCACCCCCCATCACCCGCACTGCCCCACCCCCTCGACGGGCACTCACCCCGGCGTCCACCCCTATACAATAGGAATCTTATAAACATATTTAGAGATGTTTCATCAAGCTCTTAGAAAATCATCATTTAAATCAACGTGAACTCATTTCCCCGCCAATTTTATCCCCACCCCACCCCTCACACGCGCACACCTGCTACCCCCACCCCACCTCCCCATAAATCAAAACAGTTGTCCAGGGGCATCATAAACACTTATTTATAGATGGGCAGTCCTAGAAATTTATGTTTTATTAATATATTATGTCAACATAATGACATCACCCCCACCCCCATTGTAGACATTTGACCCCCTATATCTCGAAAACGCCCCCTCAAACGCATGATCACCACCCGGATTCGAAATATACGCAAAAAACTGGTCTAGAAAAAGTTGGTCTCATAAATTCACAGCTCGGGTGGCGATTCCCCCCCCCCCCTTCAGCCACCGGACTATAGAGCGGAGAACGAATGCTACCGCATAGATAATAGTAAGTGTACCAAACATATACAAACCTCCATAAAACAAACCCACCCCTTTTTCTTGGGACTTGGGGCCCTTTTATTGTACTAGGGACCCCTTCACTGGACTTGTGGGCCTTGATTCGGGGGCTTCATTTATTGTTTTATTGTTTGAGATTTTTAAAATGAAATTCGGGTCCAATCTGATTAAAATACAGATCTATATTTTGTTTTCGTTTTTTATACTTTCGATGACCTACACTACATGAATATCTGACCGGTTGTACTGGAAGGTCGCGTTAGGGGTCGTAAAAGCGGCTTTTGCTCTCCAACTAGAACACGTGTTATATAACAAGTCTTCTAGATCGTAGTGTTGTGAAGACAAGTAAAACTAAATTTTGAACTATAAGAAACGGAACGAAATAGGATCTGTGTTTTAATCCGATTGATTCGGGTTAGAGGTATAATTATAGATTGAAATAAAACACTGTTATGTGGTCGACATTGTTGCTGGTGAGGTTTATATCAACTTTACCTAACAATGAACAGGTTATAATCCCTATTTGATAATCGAGACTACACTATGTTCGAGTGTTATAAGGGGTTACAATCCCTATTTGATAATCGAGACTACACTATGTTCGAATATAAGGGTTCGCCATTTGAATCGTACCACGGTAATTTCAAGATGGAGTCGTCTAGTACCACATGACCATGGTGTTAGTTTGTTGACTGTTTAGGGGCCGTCGACCGTCGCAAAATTTCATCTCTTGCTTCGAAACGAATAGGGGATCACGGTGGCTAAGTGGGTATGACGCTGGCTCGCAAGTCTGGCGGTCGGGTGCTCGATCCCTGCATTGACCGAGAAAGTTCATCCAGATTTTCCGGCGTGGTTTCCCCCTTGTCAGTGATGCTGGAAGGAGGGCCTGACAAGGACAGCTGTCTAGTCGTTAGGATGGGACGAAATACCGAGGTCCCGTGTACACATTGACGTGCACGTACAAGATCCCTTGACAGTTTGAATTCGATATAAGAGTAAGCCGTAGTGCCGCTTTCCGAGCAACATTTCTCTCATAGCACACTGTATGGCGTATGTCCGTCTTCATTAGCCCAGTTCGGAACAACCGGCAGACCGATGGAGTATTAAGTAAGCTACATTTAATTTTCATTTTCTATCATTATCATCTTCCACCCATCTTCGTTTGGACTCAAGTGTTGAAAATTTTGCGTCGGTCCCTTAAATGTTATTGTATGTATTGTATAAATATGTAAATAGTATTATTGAAGATAAATTATTTAACATAGATATTAAAATTGTATACATCTTTGGGCGCGGCGTAATTCGTCCAAAAGGGGAAGATCGGGAGTTGGGAGGGCTAGCTTGAATCACATGTTTGTTATCAATGCAAGCCGTGATTGTCTTGATAGCCCCCCCCCCCCCACTCCCCTCCTGAACCACAAGCAAGGGGGTGAGCATGCTGGAAGATTCTGGGGAACTTTCTGGAACAACACAGGGATCTGTCCCCGGAATCTCCCCGTAAATCTGTCATCTTTTTATACAAAATGAATCACTGCCCCCCCTCACCCCCCGCATGTTCTATGTGTACCGGGGTGGTTGGGTGCCCTGACATTGAGTCAACTGGCATGGTTTTTGATTTCCCGCTTGTACGTGACAAGGAGTAGGGTCGCCTGTCACGTAATATTTATTACAAACAACACAGCATCGAAAGAAAAAAAAAACTATTAACAAAAATAAAATATTTATTTTAAAAATAGTTATTGTAATTAAATCTTTAGATAACAATATCTTCAGCGAGAGAAAATATAACATGTTTGGCAGTGAGTCACGTGGTACAAATAGAACATAATTTATTGTTACAAAATATACAAATATTATAAATTGGAAACTACAATAAAAGATATTATACAGTCTAGTTTATCAACGATGTACGGCCACTTGATATCGCAGACATAAAACCAACTACTTTTAAAGCTGCAAATAAATCCCTCCAAATAAGATGATCTATTTTAATTTTACAAAGTTTGACTTAAAGATACATTATGAGAGATTAGATAAAGAGCTGGCAGTTCTCACTATAATAGTTAAAAACTAAATAATGTAAAGGGAATTTGCTGAAAATTTCAGTCAAATTGATTCTCTCTGAAGCGAGAATTTAGCGATTGAATTTGGGACCTAGCCTTGATCACCATTACTAAAGTCGGTACGATAAAAAACATAGTCTCGAATTTAATCATGAATGAGCATTTAGCAGTAGATCGGATCCTAATCCAGTAAATATCGCATTTTTTATAACGATAACTTGTTTGCATTAAAAATAAAACAAAAATTCAATTCTATAATTGACTCCTCTTATTTTCTATAATTAACTCCAATTAAATTCTATAATTAACTTCAACTTAATTCAATAATTAACTTCAACTTAATTCTATAATTAACTCCAATTAAATTCTATAATTAACTCCTATTAAATTAATCATGAATGAACATTGAGCAGCAGATCGGATCCTAATCCAGTAAATATCGCAGTCTAGCGATGCCATCGAGAGTTGATTATGATATGGATAAGTTAATTTTAAATGTCTAATTAATAATTAACAATAGGCAGATTTACTCTTGCATATAGTATGTTTAAACGGGCTGGGTTAACTCTTTTGTTGACTAACACTAACTTTGTGTTCTGTCCTCACCCAATATATGTGTCTTCATTAATTAACTCCAATTTAATTCTATAATTAACTCCAATTTAATTCTATAATTAACTCCAATTAAATCCTATAATTAACTCCAATTAACTCCAATTAAATTCTATAATTAACTCCAATTAAATTCTATTATTAACTCCAATGAAAAGAATAAATCCCAGAAAGATTTTAGTTTATATTATCAAAACTGTTTTAGACTAGTTAATTTGGTTTCCTTTGTCTAAAGGACACAAAGTAATATGATCTGAGGAATAATTACCAGTAAATAAAAATTAATCACGTGATAATTTGCGTTATTACTCTGGCCAATATTCCCTGTCTTCGTGTCTGTTTCTGCCTCATTGTCATATTGTTTGACATCCACACTTTCCTCTGTACTGCTGCGCATGGCCATGGTGGTTGGTCTAGTTGATGACGTAGGTTGTTTTTGTGTAGTTGATGACGTAGTCTGTTTTTGAGTAGTTGTGTCTGAAAGATAATAATAGTATTATCAAACCAATCAACAAAACATAACACGTCAGCTATCTAAAACTATAATTAGAATTTAAAAATTCCAAAAAATTAACACTTTAGAAAATTTTCTAATTTTCACCTAAAAATGATAACGACACAGTTTCGTTGGAATTGGATAGATGTGAAATACTCAAATTAAACATTAGCAATGTGAATGTTTCTAATAAAAAAACTATTTGTTAGCAAGCAATGTGAATTAATCCAGTAATGTGAATTACTCAAATCAAACATCAATTTGTTAGCAATGTGAATTACTTAAATTAAACAACATTTTTAGCTGTGTGAATTACTAAAATCAAACAATTTGTTAACAATGTAAATTACTTAAATAAAACATTTTCTTTGTTTGCTATGTGAAATATTCAAATAAGAAGTAACATTAAGATTACCTTCAACGGGACACTTCATTGCATCAAGTTTTGGTACCGTGTTTACGTCTAATATGGCGCGCATAGTTACCACAGCTTCCGGTTGACAATTAGTAGTAATGGCTTTGATTGTACAGTTCTTAAACACGGGGAAACTTCTGTAAATATATAAAAATATCAAATTTAATTCACGCTTATATTTACTCAGATGAATCATTCGACATTAAATATGCATTATGTAAATTTAGATAAAGAACTGATATTTCACGCTATTATAGTTTAAAAATAGAAAACGGAAAATGAATATGTTGAAAATTTCAATCGAATTACTACATGCTGAGCTGAGTTATAGCAGTTTATAGAATAGCGGGGGGGGGGGGGGGTTGGATGGCCGAATGGTTAGCACGTGTGCGTTGTATCATAAGGTCTGTCATTGAGTCAACTGGTGGGGTTTCGATTCCCCGGTTGTACGTGACAAGGAGTAGGGTCGCCGGTCCAAACTCGTGGGTATTCTCCTGGTCCTTCGGTCCCCTCCCACTGCTAAATACCGCTACCAGTAAGCGAATTATTGAAATAAAATTGAACCATATGTTAGTCAAGAAATAACCCACTTTGTGTCGAGTGGGTGTTAAACCCCATTTCTCTCAGAGGCTCTCAACCAGGAACAAGTAAGACTACCAAGATTCCAAACTAGGCTACTTGGTGATGTTCGATTCACAGCCCAGAACGTCCCGAATTGACAGAATTACAGTCTAGTAACGTGGAATTCAGTCCTGTCACAGTTCTGTCAGCCCCGACAATAGAGGTGGTGTGAGTAGAATCGTGACGTAATTAAACACAACGAATATGTTTCGGCTGCATGGTTGGTTGAGATATATTCTTGTTCTGTCGACGCACGCGTTGTAGCCCGGAATCCCCCATTTCACTCGATTGTCACTATTTTTGGGATTGAGAAAATTCAATTGCGGAACGTTCATTCGAGTACTCCCTTATTTATCTTAAATTATCTACGAACTACTCCATATGTTTAATAGTTCATCATTTCATAGAAATTACAAAACGATTTTAATTGGTTTAGTATTATAATATATATATTTTTTTATTATTATTGTTATTATCATCACCCCCCCCCCCCCCCCCTCCTTTTAAATTCCAATATTATTGTTAGTTCATTATTATTAGCCCACTTTGAATGCATGTGCAATTGATTGATTGATTGTAGTTATATTTATGTGTTATATTGTAAATAGGGTACATATTTCTTTTTTCTTAGTTCTTTACCTGTTCAAATTTTGGGGAGAGGGGATTATATAGGCTTTATAAATTTTTCTTTTATCCCCCTTGTTTTGTTCTGTTTCTTTTTCTTAAGCGAAGCATGTTTCACCCCAGGCCCGGGGCTGTATTATCCGCGTGTTATGTGTGATTCTCCGCAGGTTTATCTTCTGGACTTTTTGCACCTATTATTACAATTTACTGGAACAACTGTTTAGCTCGGGATTTCAATAGTCGAAAGTGGAAGAGTTTTAATTTTGGTGCAACCAACTAACATTTTCATTCCAAGTTGGCGATTTATCCGCCTTTATATAAACAGACCATCAGTTCGTTCCGTATAATATTTGAATGATACAAAGTAGTGGATATAAAATCAACTTACCCACATTCCATTTCATCCATGTTGTATTCCAGATCATCAGCACATTTTTCCATGGCTGAAACGGTCTCATCTTTGAAGAAACAGGACACAGATTCTCTATACGCTGTTGATAAATACAATGTGTATATTACTATATGTACTATGTGTGTATTACTATGCGTATATTACTATGTGTATATTACTATGTGTGTATTACCCTGTGTATATTACTATGTATATATTACTATTTGTATATTAATATGTGTGTATCGCTATGTGTATATTACTATGTGTATACCACTATGTGTATATTACTATGTGTATACCACTATGTGTATATTACTATGTGTATATTACTATATATACTATGTGTATATTACTATATATACTATGTGTATATTACTATATATACTATGTGTATATTACTATATATACTATGTGTATATTACTATGTGTGTATTACTATGTGTATATGACTATGTGTGTATCGCTATGTGTATATCCCTATGTGTATATCCCTATATGTTTATTGCTATGTGTATATTACTATGTGTCTATTACCATGTGTATATTGCTATGTGTGTATTACTATGTGTATATTACTATATGTACTATGTGTATATTACTATGTGTATATTAATATACGTACTATGTGTATATTACTATACGTACTATGTGTATATGACTATGTGTGTATTAATATGTGTATATTACTAGGTGGGTATCGCTATGTTTATATCACTATGTGTATATTACTATGTGTATATTACTATTTGAATATTAATATTGAATATTATAAACCTTAGCATACCTTTTTGGTTTTTACAGATGTACTTAGCAGATAAAATGGCACTTCTCCAGGCGATTTGTTCTCTCTGTTTACAGCCGCCAATAGATGCATTCAAACAATTGGTCAATGTTGTCACTACCCTGTAATTATTAACATAAAAACGTTATACAAAATTATATCTTGACAGAGAAAATGATTACAGATTGGGCTACGTACGTTACTACCAATTTGAGACACATTACTACCGGTTTGAAACACAATACTATCGATTTAAGACACGCTACCACCGGTATTAAGACATGCTACCACCGGTTTGAGGGACGTTACCAACGTTACTGTCGTTTTAAGATACACTATGGCGTGTCCGCTGCTCTCTTTCACGTACACAGCAAATCAGTGCCGGATATATAGAGAGAAAGGCCTTAGACTATCAACAAATGAGACCCTTCCCAATCCCAACCCTCACGACTTGAGAAGGATGAAAGTGCGATTTAAACACAGTTGAGGAAAACCGAGGATGATGATGGGTGTCAATATGATTAAAATACAGATCTATATTTCGTGTCGTTTTTTTAATACTTTCGATGGCCTACACTACATGACGATCTGATTGATTGGAGTTGAAGGTCGCGTCAGGTGTCGTACGAGCGGCTTTTGACCTATAACGTCACACAATTGATTAACCAATCAGCGTTGCTGTTTCTAGTGGGCTACCCACAGTTCCGTGCACCTCACGCCAAAAACTCGCCGTAACAAACCGTTTCACTGACTAATCCCTCACATAACAACTCTTCCAGATCCAAGTGTTGTGAAGACAATTAAAACGATATTTTGAACTGCAAAATACGAAACGAAATAGGATTTGTGTTTTTAATCAGATTGGACGGATGTTTAAGACAACAGTGTGACTAACAATATGCGCCGTGGCCGGAAGTCCCACTAGGAGCAAACAGGTCCAACACATGGAGATAAAGAGTTCGGTCCTATAAGTGATAATTAAAGATACATTATGGGGGATTAGATAAAGAGCTAGCAGTTCTCACTATAATATACTAAACCGAAAAATTCTGTGTTTAGGAAGGAGCCTTATTGCTCAGGTAAAGTTGGAGATGTGGTCACAAATATACAATAAAAACATTTGGCAAGTTTTATGCAATGCGTCTATTCAGAAAAACATACCAACCTGACGTTTCTTTTGCTGCTTAGTAGTTAAAAACTAGATGAAATGGGAATTTGCTGAAAATTTCAGTCAAATTGATCCATTCTGAACCAAGAATTCAGGATTGAATTTTGGGCCTAGCCTCGATCATCATTACTACAGTCGGTACGATAAAAACATAGTCTCGATTATCCATTTTTTGATTTAATCATGAATGAGCTTTGATCCCAATCCAGCAAATATCGTAGGCTAGCGATGCCATCTAGAGTTGATTATGGTCTGGATAGGTTAATTAATGTCTATTTAATAATTTAGATAACATTTCAGGCTTAAAGAAAGACCCGCAATAGGCAGATTTAGCTCTTGCATAATGTATGTTTAAAAAATAATTCATATCTGTAAAATATGGACGAGAAATGTTGCTACAAGTTTTCCTTGATTTATACTATAAAGAAATAATCGGGAAACTTACCTACACAAGGGCTCAATATCTTCGATTACCGGAAGTCCAAGTGGATGATCTGGGAGTAGATTATACCCGTCACACTCGGCCGCTCCATGTTTGTCGCATTCTCCTTTTATACCAACACAAAATACTATAAACATAATAATAATGGTGATGAATGAAATTATGATGATGATGATGATGATGATGATGATGATGATATGAGAGAGAGAGAGAGAGAGAGAGCGTAGGGGTCTGTAGCAGTGGGAGGAAACCGGATGTCCAGGAGAAAAGGGCTTGACATATCATAAGGATTACGTATATATATATGATTTAAAATAGTATTTAGAGGTTTTATTGTTTTGATAAACTGTTGAAAATCAGAAACGTCATCTGATAATTCTGTTCTCAATTTAACCAACTATAACGAGCACTTATTATCACTTGTTAATTTAATTAACAACACATTTGACGTCCCCCCCCCCCCGGACAACACATATACCTAACAAAGAAATACACCCGCCTCGTTGATCTAGGTCAAAATAACGTATTGAATTCACTTCATCTCATATCACATGAAATGGGTTTAATGTCATATTGTTCTGCTCCAAACTTATATCGAATTCCAACTGTCCAAAGATCTTTTATGTGCACGCCAATGTAAACACAGAAGCTCGGTTTGTCGTCCCAAACGGGTTTAACGTCCACTCGATACAAACTGGTTCATTTCGGGACTAACATCTGGTTCAATTTCATTTCAATAATTCGCTTACGCGTACGAGTCTTTATAGCTGAAAGAGGATCCGGAGAAAACCCACGAGGTTAGACAGGCGACCCTACACCCTGTCACATACAGGCGCACACTGATCAGCAGTGGATATTCGTTAGACCTCTACAATCACTGATAAGGATTACATCGATGCGACTTAATGGGCCACAAATATTTACTTTTTTTCCTCCGACAAATTTAATTCTAAAACATTTTCTGATGCATTAGAAAAATAAATAAAGACGTTTGACATATTTGTAGGTAAAAATTATTTCCCATTTAGTGTAAATTGGTATTAAAATGACTAAAAGGCACCTTTCGGCTCGGCTCGAACCCGTAACGTCTTATGTAAACATTGCACGCGCCATTGAGCTAATGATTGACGCCGCGTGATGAGACGTCACATCTTGAAGGTAGTCATCTTTGACAGAGATATTAGAAGACTTTCGTAATTCTCTTTAAAACAGGTTGATACAGGCGTTGAATAGAACCCACGTCACTTAACGCAATGGCCGACTTTCTGGTATATCAAGCAAGCAAGCGTTAAATCCCTCGCCCAACCCATCTCCAATCTCCATTTGCGACAGATGTACAATAGAAAGTTCAACACAGACCGAAACGATATAATTATTGAACCTTCCAAATTTTCACGGGATCGCCTCCCGCCAATTTCCCCCAATCATATTAAATATTAGGTCTCGAGCATCCCGCCCCCCTCCCCCACGACAAGTTCCCACCACCCCCCGCCATATCTTGTGCTTTTTTGTGCCTCCTACAAACTGAGAGATTTCTAAGTGAAAATTATCAGTTATATGCCGTTAATATGATGACGATATTAATGCCTGTAAATAAACTTATTTATAGTTATCGTGATGAGACACTATCCGGTGTGGTCTATTTAACGGTGTAAATATGGGTCGTGCTAATCAGTTCACTCGGCACTCGGCAAACCTCGGCAGATTCCGTTACTTTACATCTAGCCTCGGCTGTATGACGGTAAGTGATATGTACCTACGCCTATACAATTGCGATGCGGCACCGGTTTACTTTTTAGGAAAAGTTGCCGCTTTTAAAAAGAAGTTATCAAAATTGCGTCGTTCGAAGCGTGTGTAGAATTTTTAGTGAAAAGTTGTCCTTGTTTGAAGAAAATCGGATAAACTTGAAAGAAAAACAGCTTCAGACTTTGAAATATTTGTATGATAAAACATTCTTCAAAGGCGTCGCCATGGGCAACGCCGTTGGTAATCCGGAAATTTGAAAATAGTTCAATGGCGGACTTCGTCATACAGCCGAGGCTAGATGTAGGGTACTGGAATCTGCTGAGGTTTGCCGAGTGTTCACTGGGATGTTAAATTGTCTATATGTGTCTTTCATCTTGGACCCACGTTCAGGTTTAACTTCCTATACTTCATACAGTGTGCTATGAGACAAATTGTGCCCGGACGATAAACCCCATTTCATTTCATTTATTTTAATCCAAACCGGGTGACTATCTAATTAAATGTCTGATATTATCCGAAAAAAGCAAATCTTTTAACGCATATCTAGTCGTTCGGATGGAACAAAAAATCCCGTCTTTATTAGCCCAGAACTATGACGTTAAACCCCATTACATTTCATTTAAATAAACATTAAGATAATTACCTGCTAACAAGAGAGTGGCGAATAAATCCATTTTATATTTCTTAATTGACAAATATACACTTTAATATTCGCTTTGAAACCAAGTCACTAAGTTCTGTTAAGATGTCGATTGTTATCTGACGTGAACAGGCGTTATTATGACTTATATATAACTTTAATAGACGTAAACCGGAAAGCAGCAGACCGTAGTTGTATATAGTATGATATTATAGAGGGTAAATACTTCAATACAATATAGTATTTACACAAATAGGATACAATGACAATATCATTTCCGTTTTTACAATGCTAGCTCTCTCTATATTTCATCATAATAGTCACCGAGGCTATCATTTATAACACCATCCATTTTGTTTCTTTTGTCAAAATCATCTACACTGTCATCTCATGACGCCCAAGGTTCCCCCGCCTCCCACGTTAGCTCTGATTGTTAAAATTGCGAATTCATCGGTTTTTGAATCATTATTTTGAATCATTTTCAGCAATAAAATGTCAACTCATGATTGAAAAGGTTGGCATTTTTAGATGTCTGTTTTTAAAACCCAGAATAAAGCTTAAAGCCACTGACCACCATGAGTCTGGCTTGGTGTTCCTTGAAGACCCATATTGTCTAGCTCGGTCTTCCTTTAAAACCCATATATCTTGGTGTTCCTTGAAGTCCATGATCGCCATTGGTCTGGCTTGATGTTGCTTTGTAACTCAATGACAGACCTTATGATGCAACGCGCACCATTCGAGCCCCCCCTCCCCACACACAGACACACACCCATGTACGCAGGAACAAGAGATATGGGGGTTTAACGTCCACTCGACACAAACTAGGTAATTTCGGGACTAACATATGGTTTAATTTTATTTCAATAATTCGCTTGCGCGTAGGGGCCTTTTAGCAGTGGGAGGAAACCGGAAGACCCGGAGAAAACCCACGAGGATGGACAGGTGACCCTAATCCTTGTCACGTGCAACCGGGGATTCGAAACCACGCCAGTTGACTCAATGACAGGCTTTATGATAAAGCGCGCACGTGCTAACCATTCAACCATCCAACCCCCCGCTTCCAAACGAACAGGGGAGTCACGATGGCTAAGTGGGTAAGACGCACGTAAAAGATCCCTTGACAGTTGGAATTCGATATAAGAGTAGGCCGTAGTGCCGCTGTCCGGGCAAAATTCCCCTCATAGCACACTGTATGGCGTATGCCGGTCTTCATTAGCCCAGTTGGAGCAGAACAGCTGGACGTTAAACCCCGTTTCATTTTATTTATTTATTTGGACTCAAGTTTTGAAAATTTTGCGTCGGTCCCTTAAATGTTATTGTATGTATTGTATAAATATGTAAATAGTATTATTGAAAATAAATTATTAAACATAGATATTAAAATTAACAATAAGTGTTGTATACATCTTCGGGCGGGGCGTAATTCGTCCTAGATCAGGAGTTGGGAAGGCTAGCTTGAATCACATGTTTTTTATTCATGCAAGCCGTGATTATCTTGATGCCCCGCCCCCCTCTCATCCTGAGCCACAAGCAAGGGGGGTAAGCATGCTGGAAGATTCTGAGGAACTTTCTGGACCAACACCGGGATCTGTCCACGGATTCTCCTGGTTTGTATGTCAGCTCTTTATACAAAATGAATCACTGTGCCCCCCCCCCTCTCCAAGCCCTCCCGTGTTCTATGTGTACCGGGGTGGTTGGGTGCCCTGACATTGAGTCAACTGGCATGGTTTTTGATTTCCCGCTTGTACGCGACAAGGAGCAGGGTCGCCTGTCGAACCTCGTGGGTTTTCACCGGGTACCCCGTTTCCTCTCACAGCTAAAGACCCACTACGTGCAAGCGAATCATTGAGATAAAATTTAAGTATATTTTAGTCCCAAAATTACCTAGTTTGTTTAACGTCCACTCGAAACAAACTAGGTAATTTAACTTAAACCCCATACCCCCCCCCCCCCCATGTGTACCGCCCCCGTAACCCTTTCCAAGATAACCGCTTCCTTCTATATATATATATATATATATATATATATATATTCATTACAAACAACACAGCTTAGAAACACATTCTATAGTATGGTTTTATTCCAGATCTTCAACAATCCTATTTCCCGTCTCTTCGACACAGTGGTGTTATGTTAGAGACTAGAAACAGTAGCACATCGAATGTTTAAATTTTTATAAAACTATATTATCGCCCTTATCACGATTCCCTCTCTGCATTAATAATAAAGCAAAAATTAAGTTCTATAATTAGCTCCTCTTATTTTCTATAATTAATTCTAATTAAATTCTATAAATAACACCAATTAAGTTCTATAATTAGCTCCTCTTATTTTCTATAATTAATTCTAATTAAATTCTATAAATAACACCAATTAAGTTCTATAATTAACTCCAATTAAATTCTATAAATAACACCAATTAAGTTCTATAATTAGCTCCTCTTATTTTCTATAATTAATTCTAATTAAATTCTATAAATAACACCAATTAAGTTCTATAATTAACTCCAATTAAATTCTATAAATAACACCAATTAAGTTCTATAATTAACTCCAATTAAATTCTATAAATAACACCAATTAAGTTCTATAATTAACTCCAATTAAATTCTATAATTACCCCCAACTTAATTCTATAATTATCTCCAATTACATTTTTTTTTAAACAGTATTTTTATTCAGGTTGTCTGAATAGGATTGGGGAACAGGCTTAGCCTATGTAAAACCCCTCTCTCAATTACAATCTTTAATTAATTCCAATTAAATTCTATAATTAACTCCAATTAAATTCTATTCTTATATCAAATTCTACCTGCCAACTTAATTTTAAAATTAACTCCAATTAAATTCTATAATTACCTCCAGCTTAATTCTATAATTAACACCAATTAAATTCTATATATAACTCCAATTAAATTCTATAATTACCTCCAACTTAATCCTATAATTAACCCCAACTTAATTCTATAATTACCTCCAATTAAATAATTAACTATATAATTAACTCCAATTAAATTTTATAATCACCTCCATCTTAATTCTATAATTACCTCCAATTAAATTCTATAATTAACTCCAATTAAATTTTATAATCACCTCCATCTTAATTCTATAATTACCTCCAATTAAATTCTATATATAACTCCAATTAAATTCTATAATTAACTCCAATTAAATTCTATAATTACCTCCAATTAAATTCTATAATTAACTCCAATTAAATTCTATATATAACTCCAATTAAATTCTATAATTAACTCCAATTAAATTATATATATAACTCCAATTAAATTCTATAATTAACTCCAACTTAATGATTTTTAGTTGTGTTGTTTTCTGAATTTAATGTACATTGGTTTAAAGGAAACATAGTGATATGATCTGAGGAATCATTATCAGTAAATACAAATTAGTTGATGACGTTGGTTGTTTTTGTGTATTCGATGACGTAGTCGGTGTTTGAGTAGTTGATGACGTAGTTGTGTCTGAAAGTTAATAATAGTATTATCAAACCATTGTAGTAATATGGATGGCATTGATTTGTGCTAAAGAACACATACGTAAAATAACATTATGGTCTTGATTAATTATACTCCTTTGGCAAAGTTTAGCTATTGTATGAGTTATTCTGAAACGCAAATAAAAATTGTTTACGAAATATTGTGACAATAACAGGAAAAGTCAAAAGACAAGAAAGGGAGAAATATGATGGCTTAAACAATATTGTTATCGTTCATATTATTGATTCTAAGTTCATACCTAAAAATATAGAAAGTATATGCTGGTTATTTTGATACGTTAACTGAGCTATAGATTAATGAACATGTTTCTTTGTTATAAAACATATATCATATTTGTTAACCAAATTAGGTAACAATCCCTGTCGATATACAGGTTGGGGTGAATGTCCATTCCATATTTGGAATTTAGCTGTTATCAGTTGTTCACGTAAATAACACAGACAAAAGAAACACACAAAAGAATAGGCACCTATATAAGAGAGCAGGGCTAGAATATTTGGGAGAGACGCATTGGGTTCTTTAGACAACCATTTCACGATGTAGTGGTTTCCTGAGTCTAGCCACGCTGGTTAGACTTTTACAGGAGTTGGGGTTGAGAGAAGGAGATGTTAATTTTAAATATTGTAATGTAGCCTATTGTGTAATTGTTGTGACATAAAAACGCATAGAAAAAAAACTATCATTGTTCCTGTTCCTCATTTGAGTTCGGAATCCTAAGAAAACACAATGGTGAAGTCCTTAAGAAGAGAGATACAACAATAGCAGTCCAGAGTCAACAAACCCTCATTAGACGATCAAGGTCAAAACAAAAAGATATGTGGCAGCGGCAAAAAGCAGACCTGACAATCGTGACTAATATAAATTTACCTCTCCTCGCACAATTACCAGTATTAAGTTGAAAAGCAAAGAAACAGAAATCAATTCATGATATCTTTATTAATCTTGTTAATCTTTTCTTTTAACCCATACATAGATAGACTACTGATGATTGGGTGTAAATGTATCAACACATCGAAAGAAAATCAAACTTCTGGCCTCTCTTATAGATGCTGAGAAACATTTTATTACTCGATTTAAACTACGATTTGTTAACTATATGAACTACCCCAATACAACAACAATTTGTTAGCTGTGTGAATTACTCAAATTAAACAACAATTTGTTAGCAATATAAATTACGTAAATAAAACAAAAATTGTTTGCAATATAAATTACTTAAGTAAATTCTTTTTCTAGCTATGTGAAATACATGTACTCAAATACGAAGTAGTATTAAGATTACCTTCAACGGGACAATTCATTGCATCAAGTTTTGGTGCCGTGTTTACGTCTAATATGGCGCGCATAGTTACCACAGCTTCCGGTTGACAATTAGTAGTAATGGCATTGATTGTACACTGCTTAAACACGGGGAAACTTCTGTAAATATAGAAATCATGTTGTGCTAAAATATCAAATTTAATTCACGCCAATATCTACTCCGATTGATCATTTGACATTAAATATGCTTTATGTAAATTTAGATAAAGTGCTGATATTTCTAGCTCATATAGTTCAAAAGTAGATAATGAAAAATGAATATGTTGAAATGTCAATCGAAGTTCTTCATTCTGAGCTGAGTTAGGGCTGTTTATAGAATAGCGGAGTCTCGAATGTCATTGCTACCGTTGGTACGATAGTTAGCAAAGTCTCGATGTTCAATTTCGTAATTGAATCATTAAGTGCCAATCGCTTTTAAATCTGCTGAAAATAAAGAGTATCCAATAGCCTAGAGAGTTGATTATCGTCTTGTCATGTTAATAAATGTCTAATTAATAATTTAGATAACATTTCAGGCCCAAGGAAAGACCTGAAATAAGCAGATTTAGCTCTTACATAATGCATCTTTAAGGATTCAAATTCAAAATACAAACGCTAGATAATATTGAATCGGATTGAATAGGATTTATTTAACACAACACAGCCTTATCAATCAATATTCACGGACAACATCATATTCCTGAAGCAACGGCCCGAGAAACCCCCCTCTGCCCATTGTTGGATTGGCTTCTGATACTTGAGTTTTTGAGGTAGTGTGTCTATTCTTTCCGTTCAATCAAATTTATCCCACGTACATCAACATGACAGCCCTTCGTTTAGTCTGGGGTCTTCCCGAAAACTTTTGACAGTGATTTAAGGTATTAAAAACGGTGAAAGTATTCTTTGTCTCTATACAGTATTGTTTACATTGTATCCATGTTGATACTATAATGACAGCCTCGTTTGTCACGCAATTAATTTTTCTGCAATATTCTGCTATGCGCTGGTTAATTGGGCATAAAATCGTGAGTCATGACGTAATGTTATGTAAACATAATTAGTCCAATTTGGAGCCCTGTTTAAAGCAGTTAAGCAGTTAGCTATTGGTTGTTAATCGGACTATTGACCAATCATAATTTGGAACAGAAATTTGCTTCCATAAAAGCAGTGTTTAGTGGGATTAGTTGTAATCAAACGAAACGCTGCGAGGAGTATGGGACAACATATGTTCGTAAATACTAACATGACGCACCGGGACTTTCAGAACAACATTTTCTCCAGAATTTAAATATTGACAAATAAACACAAAGACTATTGATATGATATATAATCTCTGGTTTATTTGGAGGGTAGGGGTTGGGGTGATGGCCGAATGGTTAGTATTCTCCTGGTCCCCACGTTTCCTCCCACTGCTATTGAAAAAAATTGAACCATATGTTAGTCCCGAAATAACCTAGTTTGCGTCGAGTGGATGTTCAACCCCATTTCTCCCCCCCCCCCTTTCTCTCTCTCTCTCTTTATCCATCGCACCACAAGTTGAATTAGAAGCCCTCAACCTGGAACAAGTAAGACTACCAAGATTCGAAACTACCTGGGGATATTCGATTCACAGCCCAGAACGTCAAGAATTGACAGAATTTCAATCTAGTAACGTGGAATTCAGTCCTGTCACAGTTCTGTCAGTCCTGACAACCGAGGTGGGGTGAAAAGAATCGTGACTTAATTAAGCACAACGAATATGTTTTGGCTGCATTGTTGTTGTTGCCCGAAATCCCCCTTTACGCTGGGTTGTCACTTTTTGGGGGATTGAGAGAATTCAATACCGGAACGTTTAAGCAAATACCCCCCCCCCTTCCACTTATTTATCTTAAAGTATCTCCCTCGTTTTGTTCTGTTTTCTTTTTTTTTAAGCGAAGCATGTTTCACCCCAGGTCCGGGGCTGTATTATCCGTGTGAAATGCGTGTTTCTCCGCAGGGTTATCTTCTGAGCTTTTTGTGAGGTGCTGCACTTATTAATACAGCTGACTGGAACAAGCGTTTAGACCGGGATTTCAATTGTCAAAAGTGGACGATTTTTAATCTTGTTGCAATCAACTAACATTTTCATTCCAAGTTGGCGATTTATCCGCCTTTATATAAACAGACCATCAGTTCGTTCCGTATAATATTTGAATGATACAAAGTAGTGGATATAAAATCAACTTACCCACATTCCATTTCATCCATGTTGTATTCCAGATCATCAGCACATTTTTCCATGGCTGAAACGGTCTCATCTTTGAAGAAACAGGACACAGATTTTCTATACGCTGTTGATAAATACAATGTGTATACAATGTGTATATTACTATATGTACTATGTGTGTATTACTATGTGTATATCACTATGTGTATATTGCTATGTTTATATCACTATGTGTATATTACTATGTGTATAAGTTTATAAATTTCATCATACCTTTTTGGTTATTACAGATGTACATAGAAGTCAAAATGGCACTTCTCCAGCCGATTTGTTCAACCTGTTCACAGCCGGCAGCAGATGCATTCAAACAAGACGCTAATTTTGTCACTACGCTGTAATTATTTATACAAAAATGTTATACAAAATTATATGGTGGCAGAGAAAATGATTACGGGTTGGGCTACGTTACTACCAATTTGAGACCAGCTGACCAGCTATTACCGGTCTGAGACACGTTATTGTCGGTGTAAGACACGTTACCACCGGTTTGGGACACGTTGCCACTGGTTTAGGACATGTTACCACCAGTTTTGGACACGTTAAAGTCTGTTTAAGATACACTATGGCGTGTCCGCTGCTCAGTGCCGGATATGGAGAAAGAAAGTCCTTAGACTATCAACGAATGAGGCCCTTCTCAATCCCGCCTTCACGACTTGAGGAGGATGAACGCAGTTGAGGAAAACCGAGGATGATGACAGATGTCAATCTGAGTAAAACACAGATCTATATTTCGTTTCGGTTTTTTTTTATACTTTCGATGGCCTACACTACATGAAGATCTGATTGGATGGAGTGGAAGGTCGCGTCAGGAGTCATACACATGGAGATAAAGAGTTCGGTCCTATAAGTGGTATTTAAAGATGCACTATAGGGGACTGATTAGATAAAGAGCTGGCAGTTCTCACTACAATATACTAAACAGCAAAAGTCCGAACTAAAGGCTGGCCAGTGCATAACATTGACACCGTTCTATTGTAGAAAGTCCCGAGTAACTCTGGCGGTGTGGCCAAGGCGTTGTCATGCTGGAAAACGTTGTTTCGATGACGTGCGAAATGTGGTATGACGTGGGGTCTGAGAGCTTGATCGATGTAGCGCACTGCTGTGATGCCACCTCCTCTCCCTGGACGAAGATTTTGGAACACGACAGGACACACTCTCTGGTTCAGGCCGATTCCACCCCAAACCATTATACTTGGACCTCCCCATGGGTCTCGTTCCATCACACATTTGTCAGAATAACGCTGGTCACGTCGACGCAGTTGATACGCAATACCGACTCTCATCTGTGAACAGAACTGTTCTCCATTGCCTGTGTCGCCAGTTATGTTTTTTGGGTAAACTGTAGACGTTCACATTTCCTGTTTCCAATTCTGTGTTTGGGAAGGAACCTTATTGCTCAGGTAAAGTTGGAGATGTGGTCACAAATATACAATGCTGTATATTTGCTGCTTAGTAGTTAAAAACTAGATAATGTAAAGGGAATTTGCTGAAAATATCAGTCAAATTGGTCCACTCTGAACCAAGAATTTAGGATTGAATTGTGGGCATAGCCACGATCATCATTACTAAAGTCGGTACGATAAAATAAACATAGTCTCGATAATCCACTTTTTGATTTAATCATGTATGAGCGTTTTGCAGCAAATCGGACCCCAATCCAGCAAATATCACAGGCTAGCGATGTCAATGTGAGTTGATTATTGTCTGAATAAGTTAATTAATGTCTAATTAATAATTTAGATAACATTTCAGGCCTAAAGAAAGACCTGCAATAGGCAGGTTTATCTCTTGCATAATCTATGTTTAAAAGATAATTCATATCTGTAAAATATGGACGAGAAATGTTGCTACAAGTTGTCCTTGATTTATACTATAAAGAAAATATGAACGAGAAATGGTGCTACAAATATCGGGAAACTTACCTACACAAGGGCTCAATTTCGTCGGGTAGCAGAAGTCCAAGAGGATGATCTGGGAGTAGATTATACCCTTCACACTCGATCGCTCCGTATTCGTCGCATTCTCCTTTTATACCAACACAAAATACTATAAACATAATAATAATCATATTAATAATAATCATAATAATGATGATGGTGATGATGATGATGATGATGGCGATGAAATGATGATGATATGAGAGAGAGAGAGAGCGAGAGAGAGAGAGAGAGATAGATATCCTGAAAAGTGAGTAGGTGTCTGTAGCAGTGGGAGGAAACGGGATGTCCGGGAGAAAAAGGCTTGACATATGATATGGATCATTAAACATACATTATGCAAGAGCTAAATCTGATTATTGCAAGTCTTAATTTAGGCTTCAGATGTTATAGAAATTATAAATTAGATCTTTATTTAAACAACAAGCCCAAAATCAACTCTGTAGACCCACGGATGGCTCGGCTACAGCTCGGATTTAAATAGGATTTCACTAATTGATTAAATCAAATAATGGCTCAACCTGATGAAAATACGTCAGTTAGATCGAGGCTAAATGATAGAGTGTACTTAGCGAGGCCGCTGTAAAGCGTTTCCGTATGCCATTGAAAACTTTACTTGATAATCGAGATATGTAGGTGGAGTTAACGCCTGTCAATCAAACGATCGGCGAAGGTGAAGACGCATTTCGCTACCATTTTTAGTCAAATATTACAACGATGATAACTATGTTCAGAATAAAGTAATTTGACTGAAATTTTCAATATATTCTTCTTTCATCATCTACTTTTGAACTGTTATAGCAAGAATGGCCAACTCTCTATAAAAATCTCCCATAATGTATCTTTAAGTATATATGATTTAAAATTGTATTTACATATAGTTTTAATAAACTGTTGAAAATCAGTACCCTAATATGATAATTTTGTCCTTAATTTAACCCCTATAACTTAAGACGTCTTAATTTAATTAACAACACATTTCACCCTCCTGTAACTAGAACCGCATGTTCCTTTCACCTGTTGAATAAATTAACAACCGTCAAGTAATGAATTCACTTGATTCGGTAGGATATGAAAGAGGTTTAATGTCATGCTGTTCTGCTCCAAAGAGGACTTTGCCCGGACAACGGCGCTACGGCCTACTCTTATATCGAATTACAACTGCCAAAAGATCTTTTATGTGCACAGCAATGTAAATGCTGGAGCTCGGTTTGTCGTCCCAAACGGCTTTAACGTAGGGTTTAACGTCCACTCGATACAAACTAGTTCATTTCGGGACTAACATCTGGTTCAATTTTATTCCAATAATTTGCTTGGGCGTATGAGTCTTTTAACTAAGAGAGGATCCGAAGAAAACCCACGAGGTTAGACAGACAACTTTACAGCTTGTCACATACAGGCGTTGAATCGAATCCACGCTCTTTCACGCAATGGTCGACTTGCTGATATAACAAGCAATTATCCCTCGCCCGACCGGGGGGGGGGGGTTGTGTGGATGGCCGAATGGTTAGCACGTGCACGCTGTATCAAAAGGCCTGTCATTGAGTCATTTGGCGTGGTTTCGAATCCCCGGTTGTATGTGACAATGAGTAGGGTCGCCTGTCCAACCTCGTGGGTTTTCTCCGGGTCCTCCGGTTTCCTCCCACTGCTAAAGACCCCTACGTGCAAGCGAATTATTGTAATAAAATTAAACAATATGTTAGTCCCGAAATGACCTAGTTTGTGTCGAGTGGACGTTAAACCCCATCTCTCTCTCTCTCTCTCCCACCCCCAATCTCAATTGCGACACATGTACAGTAGAAAGTTAAACACAAGCGATATAATTATTGAACTTCTAGTTGAAGGTAAACGACGTCGAAATATTCACGGGATCCGCCTCCCGCCAATTCCCCATAGCCATATTAAATATAAAATCTCGTGCACCTCGCCCCCCCTCCCCCACGGCAAGCCCCCACTAACCCCCGCCGTTTCTTGTGCTTCCTACAGATTTCTAAGTGTAAATTATCAGTTATATGTTTTTTAATATGATGATGATATTAATGCCTGTGAATAAAATAATTAATAGTAATGGTGATGACAACTATCCGGTCCAATGTATATTTCACAGTGTTGTCGTGCTAATCAGTTCACTGGGATGTTAAATTGTCTATATGCATCATTCATCTTCGACCTACGTTCAGGTTCAACTTCATATACGTCATACAGTGTGCCGTGAGGGAAATTTTGCCCGGACAGCTCTGCTGCGTATGACTTACTCTTATGTCGAATTCCAAATGTCAAGGGATCTTTTACGTACACGTCAATGGATACACGGTATCTTAGAGGTGGGGGAGTGGGAGAAGGGGAGGTTGGGGGGGGGGGGGGTATCTTATAACTGGAATGACCCAGGCCATCTATTCATCTAAATCCGGCACTGTAATTTGACGAATAATAGAAAAGATTTTTACGTGTTACTAGGTCCTGTCTAGTCGTTGGCGTGCACCTAAAAGATCCCTTGGCGGATGGATTTCGATATAAGAGTAGGCCATAGCGCCGATGTCCGGACAAAATTTACCTCACAGCACATTTTATAGCGTACGCCCATATTCATTAGCCCAGTAAGACGTTAAACCCCATTTCATTTAATTTCTTTTAATCCAAACCGGGTGGCTATCTAGTTAAATGTCTGATATTTTCCGATAAAAGCAAATCTTTTAACGCATATCTAGTTGTTCGGATGGAACAAAAAACCGTCTTCATTAGCCCAGAAGTATGACGTTAAACCCCATTACATTTCATTTAAATAAATACTAAGATAATTACCTGCTAATAATCCGCCTTCATTAGACCGGTCGGTGCAAAAAAAACCCTATGACATTCAACCCCATTTCATTTCATTTCTTTTAATCCAAACCGGGCGACTATCAACTTAAATGTCCGATATTTTCCGAAAAAAGCAAATCTTAAACGCATATCTAGTCGTTCGGATGGAACAAAAAATCCCGTCTTAATTAGCCCAGAACTATGACGTTAAACCCCATTTCATTTAAATAAACATTAAGATAATTACCTGCTAACAAGAGAGTGGCGAATAAATCCATTTTATATTTCTTAATTGACAAATATACACTTTAATATTCGCGTTGAAACCAAGGCACTAATATTGACTTATATAGACGTAAAACGGAAACCAGACGTCATCAACGCCCAAGGTTCCCCCCGCCTCTTCCCTCGTGATTGTTAAAATTGTGAATTCATCGGTTTTTGAATCATTATTTTGAATCATTGTCAGCACGAAAATGTCAACTCATGATTGAAAAGGTTGTCATTTTTAGCTATTTGTTTTTAAAACCCCAAATAACGTTAAAGTTCCTGATCGCCATTAGTCTAGGTTGGTGTTCCTTGAAGTCCCCGATCGCCATGAGTGTGCTAGGTATTTCTTCCAGACCCATATTGTCATTTGTCTAACTAGGGGGGCGGGGGGTGGGGGTGGATGGCTGAATGGTTAGCGTGGGCGCGCTGTATCATAAAGTCTGTCATTGAGTCGACTGGCGTGGTTTCGAATCCCCGGTTGTACGTGACAAGGAGTAGGGGCGCCTGTCCAACCTCGTGGGTTTTCTCCGGGTCCTCCGGTTTCCTCCCACTGCTAAAGACCCCTATGCGTAAGCGAATTATTGAAATAAAATTAAACCATATGTTAGTCCCGAAATGACCTAGTTTGTGTCGAGTGGACGTTAAACCCCATTTCTCTCTCTCTCTCTCTGTCTAACTAGGTGTTCCTTTATAGTCCAAGAGCCAGTAACGAAAAAACTGCGTCATAAGTAATAGAAGGTTTGACCATATTAATTGGCAGCTATTGATAGGGCAAATTCAAAACACCCAGTCTTACGAGGTTTCAGTGGGGCATTTGGTTGGGCGGGGCAGATAAAAAGGGTCAAAAAGGGCTAAAATTTGCCTCATGTGTAATAGGATCAGAATTATTTCTGAAATATTGCCATACAATGTCTCAATATAAAAAATATAAATCTGACCGGAAAAAGTGGGGCCATGCCCTTTTCTGACTGCCTTAAAAGTGTGACGGGGGCCAAATGTTTTCAGTTTTGACTTAAAAGTTCCAAGATTATCACATCGCCTCACATCAATATCAATTTCGTTCCAGAATAATGGCGCAGCATGAGAAAATGACCTGTACCCGAAGGTCTTCACATGTTGTAGCCTGGAGTGTAAAGTTTCAGTTGGTTTCTTGATCTGAGATCGCGTGTAGGAATGTAATTGTGTATCAGTTCTTGAAGGTACGAAGGGGATGAATCGTTGACAAATAACGTCACAGTAGTCGAAATGAGGACGAATATATGAGGTATACATGGTTTGCAGAGATCTACGACTCAATCTATATTTTAATGAGCGAAGACAATTTACAAATTTACTTGTTTTGGCCAAAATCTTATTTATATGAGTATCCCCCTTACAGTATTTTGGAAAGTCAGCCCCAGGTGATTGTGCTCAGAAACTTCTTTAATTACAGCATTGTCTAGATTTAGTGTCGGAAGAAATGGATTCTTTATATTTGCTAGTGCTGAAAAGATACAAACCACAAGATATTCGACCATTAAAAGTTCTTGGGGGCAATTCAGGGTCCCAAGAATAATTTTCCAATTTTTGATGCTACCAAGATATGAATGATGAAGATGCACCTACAATAGAAAAGTTTGTTTTTTGTCGCACATATAGATTAGGTCTTTAAACAAGTGTAAATGAGGTCAGATATCTCCCATAACGTATCTTTAAAAAGATAGAAGAGGAAAAAACAAGAAAACTAAACATCCCCTGGGAAAGGTGTTTTTATTAAAGAGAGGGAGAGAGATATCATCATCATATTAACAACCATATAACTGATAATTTACACTTAGAAATCTGTAGGAGGCACAAGAAATGGCGGGGGGTTAGTGGGGGCTTGCCGTGGGGGAGGGGGGCGAGGTGCACGAGATTTTATATTTAATATGGCTGGGGAATTGGCGGGAGGCGGATCCCGTGAATATTTCGACGTCGTTTATCTTCCACTAGAAGGTTCAATAATTATATCGCTTGTGTTTAACTTTCTACTGTACATGTGTCGCAGTTGAGATTGGGGGTGGAAGAGAGAGAGAGAGAGAGAGAGAGAGAAAGAGAGAGATGGGGTTTAACGTCCACTCGACACAAACTAGGTCATTTCGGGACTAACATATTGTTTAATTTCATTTCAATAATTCGCTTGCAGTGGGAGGACCCGGAGAAAACCCACGAGGTTGGACAGGTGATCCTACTCCTTGTCACGTACAACCGGGGATTCGAAACCACGCCAGTTGACTCAATGATAGGCCTTATGATACAGCGCGCACGTGCTAACCATTCAGCTGTCCAACTGTCCTTTAATTAAAGAGTAACTAAACTTAACAAAACTAGAATAAAACAATCACCACAATAAATATGGACCACTAGGAAAAAGGTAAAATCAGCGGGAAAACTAAAGATACGAATTATATTAGTCCGCTGACAGTTCCTATCCCTTCCTTTAGCTGCAATATGAAAATACGGTAAAATACCGCTCTTCCCTACCTCAGTTCTCAGGCTATTTTGGAACCCTTAACTTCTATTTTTCACCGTGAATAATTAGACGCCATCTTTACCATGGTAACAGTAGTTGAAATTAACACCTGAAGACAAACTTTACCATTTATGTAGGTTAGATCTATTTTTTAAGGCCAACTTCAAGTTTGGTCAAAGGTTACGAGATCTAAACCCAACCCTAACCCTAACCCTGTACCTAGCCCCAAATGCTTACACTAACCCTAATCTACAATCTTTCCGTCAATCACGTGCCCTAACCTTATTTTACACCTCAGCTACCTTGACGAAAATTGAGCTGGCCTTAACAAATAGATTTTAGGCCATTTATAGCATGATCGCTTTCATTCTGGCTATTTAAGCAACTGGAGCCAGTGACCGCCTCCATAGTGTTATAGATCGGCACCAGGTGTGGAGTGTTTATTAACACCTGGATTAATACTCAAGTTCCAATTTGCCGTCCCGTTATTGGAATTTCACATCATTAGGGGTCAACAGAAATAATTGACATCACTGAAAAAAAAATCTTTTGAATAATATTTCTTGATTCATTTGATACGTTTTTTTGTTTTGTAAAATTCAGTTTTAGCAGGTAAGTTCAACCAGTATTTTTTTGTTTTGTAAAATTCAGTTTTAGTAGGTAAGTTCAACCAATATTTTTTTGTTTTGTAAAATTCAGTTTTAGTAGGTAAGCTCATCCAGTAATTTTGTTTTTGTAAACCGACCATGTAGAGCAGTGTGTAATGGTTTTGTTATAACCGTGTCCAACTCCTTGAGACTATCTATATGAAGGTTTGGGTGGCCGAGCTGTCTGGATCAGAATGTTTGTCATTGAGTCAAGTGCTACGGTTTCGATTCTCCGCTTGTACGTGATAACGAGTAGGGCCAATCGTCCAGCCTCGTGGGTTTTCCCCGGGTCCTCAGGTTTCCTCCAACTGCTAAAGACTCCTACACGCAATCGAATTATTGAAATAAAATTGATCCATATGTAAGTCCCGAAATGACCTAGTTTGTGTCAAAGGGGTTTCATTCTATTCTATTCCTCGTTGAATGACAACTACCAAGGATTCTTTCGCTTCCAAGAAAGAGACGATAAAACCCCGCACTCGATAGAAATAAAAGGGCGGAAGATTCCCTATATAAGTTTGGATCTCAGTGATGCATCCGAGGAAAGACAGGATCCATTCCTTGTAGATAAATCATAGTAGAATATCCCCGGCAACAAACTTGGCAAGACTGGGTTTTGTTGTTACCAGCCGATGAAGGGCACATCGCCCGAAACGCGTTCTAGAAATAAGAGTTGGCCATAGTGCCGCTGTCCGGGCAAAATTTCCTTCATAGAACACTGTATGGTATATGCCCGTCTTCATTAGCCCAGTCGGAGCAGAACAGTAGGACGTTAAACGCCATTTCATCTTAATTCATTAGCTAGTCACCGAACCCCTGGACACAAATTTTCATCAACAGACAAAAAAGTGAACGTAAGCCCCTCTAGCGCGATTGTTTATAGGTCGTAAGCCCATCTAGCGCGATTGTTTATAGGTCGTAAGCCCATCTAGCGCGATTGTTTATAGGTCGTAAGCCCATCTAGCGCGATTGTGTATAGGTCGTAAGCCCTCTAGCGCGATTGTTTATAGGTCGTAAGCCCCTCTAGCGCGATTGTTTATAGGTCGAAGGGCCACATGGCATTTTTTAGTACAAATGTACTAGCAAATGAGTAGCAAATAAAGGCAAACCTTGTTGGACAAAAAACCAGAAACAAAACATCCCCCACCCCCTAAAAAAAACCCCCTCACAATTTGAAAAGATTCTCACCAACGGGGCGTTACAACCTACCAGGACCACCTATTTCTTGTCATTGTTTTCCACCTATGACTAACGTCATGAAGAATTGAATCTCCCAGTCGTCACCACTTGACATGTAAGTAAATGAACAATGTCTGACTGTCAATATATTGATGTCAATAGGATGTAAACACCCTGTAACTATGTCAAGTTTTTCTAATTTATTTACAGTTATCCATTGTAAACTATGACATATACTCATCAAATGAAATGTTGTTTAACGGCCTACTGTTCTGCTCCTATACAGGGCTAATGAAGACGGGCATACGCCATACAGTAGGCTATGAGGGGAAATTTTGCCCGGGTAGCGGCGCTACAGCCCACTCTTATATCGAATTCCAACTGCCAAGGGATCTTTTACGTGCACGTCAATGTATACACGGGACCTCGGTTGTTCTTGCTATACGAGCGGTTAGACATCTGCCCTTGCCAGGCCCTCCTTCCTGCACCACTAACAAGGGGAACCCAATTCGGAAAATCTCGATGAACTTTCTCGGCCAATGTAGGGTTCGAACACGCGACTCCCAGGATAGCGAGCCAGTGTCTTACCCACTTAGCCACCGTTGCTCCCTTATAATATGGAAATGAGCTACTAATTTATTTCGAAGAGTATTCTCTCAACGGTATTAATATCAAACTAAATAAGTGGATGAGACGCTGGCTAGCTAGTCTATAGTTCGCATTGTCGGTCGCTGCACTGTATGACCTCTGACGC